GAGTTACCGGGGATATGCTTGGAGGTATTCAGTTCTTCCTGAATTGGCTGTTTCTGTATTTCTTTGCCTTGTCTCTATGCTCAGTTGAGTGGTTTTCTTACATTTACACTTCACCAAAGTCTTCCAGATAACCCAAGSCAGGACATAGCTGGCTGATGCTGGCTTTAGTTAAGAAGCCTMTCCATTGGCAATACTAAMCTACAGAAYAGCATAGTGAGGATGCCTGCTACCRTTTTAGTCTTGTTATTTTTGGAGGGCCACTTAGACAAAAGGTTACTGGCAGGAATGCATTAATTGAACCCTTAATGACTCCCGCATTATTTGAAATTAATTACTGTATATCTTTTATTCCTTTGTTAGCCAACATCTAAGGGCCATGCTCAGGTAAAGGTAGAACCTTGAACAAAACCCACATACAGATTTGAAAGAGGATTTGATGGAAAGAGAAAGGAAATGCTGCTATATGTCATACAATCGCTGCAACCTTTGTTTTTCAAACACTCTTGCCCAGTATAACTTCCAGTAGCAAACATGTCCTTMGTAGATCCTGCCCCAGAGAACATGTAATCATAGAGAGTGAAAAACAATAACAGAAAACAAGAGTTACTCTCTTGATTCTAAAAAAGTGACCATTAAATAAATAGGAGACGTAGGTGGCAACTAAGAAAGCAAGCCTTGTCTTGGTAAGTTGCAGCTGAATACCATAACCATAAGTCAGGTGTTCCTGTCAGCCAAGTGGGGAAGTGTAATACTTACCTAACTCTTCTGAGGTCTTTGCACAAGCAATTTTATATTGACATCAGTGTCATGCTATTTGAATAAGATCTAAAGATAAAGTTTTGAGAAACTGGCTTGAGTGGAATTACATTGAAATATCCTGCTCAATTATTATTTCAATTAGATGCTCTGCAATCACTTGGTTTAAAACAAAAGAACRATCTCTAAACATAAACACAGTAGGTTTCAATGTGTGGCTTTACATTGACGTGTCTTGGAAAGGTAACACTGCAGTCCTCAGATACCCCAGGTAAGTAATAAGCAGCTTCCTCCCATCTCGAAGCTGCGAAGATCATTATCTTGCCATGTTTACAACCACACCTGCAAAGCACCTAAGGAAATTAGTAGCTCTCTTACTCTGGCCAGGAAAAAGAGCCAGTGATACTGGATTAATTGTATGATATCTTTGTTTAAGATTACAGTGGTTCAGGAGATAGGTAAGAGGATATAACACCTTTTACTTTTCTGAAACAGGGATAGATCTTGATAGCCAGAAGGACACTTCATTTACAAATGTTATCACCTGACTGCTGCTCAGACAGACAACCTGGTATTTTGTTCTAATTAACATMAGGTACTGAAAATGGTTGTTTGGAAAGTATTCAAAATTAAATGTCACATGTCCTAAATGTGGAATTTCTGAAGCTTGCTTTATAGCTTTCAGTTTCATATGGTCATTTTGAATTGAAAAATTAAGATACATTTTAATGAAGTTTTTGTTGTTATTGTTTGGATTATTTTTACAGTGGTTAAATCAGATACGGAAAAAAATATTTTGGACTGAGCTAGGAAAAAATYCTCCCTTTTTCTCAATTTCTGAGAACATTTTGTAAAAGTGTGGTTTGAATTTGACTATATTTATTTTTTGAGGTGACTATAATTTTTTTAACCTAGCCACTGAGCTGAACAAGGTATAGACAGACTTAAGAGGCAAAAAGAAAGTGACTGTTATATCTGATTGTCTCTGTCTGGCATAACAATATGTCTCAAAGATGCACAGTATTCCACCTCCACCTGTTAAATGGTGTGGCGACATCTAGCTCTAGAAAGATCCATCACTTTCTTCTGTTGAAAAGTTTTTATAGGATGAATGAAACGATCAAAGAAAATCATTCATATTTATAGGAGAATGTTTCAGTAATTGCCATCCTGCCTTATAAATCTACTAGGACCAAGGCTGGAAGGGCTATGAAGAGAGGGCCTGAGTGGCCTGAAGAGAGGGCAGTTTTTGTACACCAAAGCTGAGTTTGAAATTTTGCAGTGCCACTGCTGGGGCAAATTATGATCTCCTCTAAATGAGACTTCTGTATCTTTTGTAGGTTCTGTTCCAGTTAGCTTTTCAGTTTATGCCACCAGTAGGATAGTCCAGTTCACAATAATTTAGAGCTGCTGCCAGTATTACTGCTTGGTTTTTGGCAGCTCAGTAGCTTCTTGTAAGGAGCTGTTAGTGAGCCATCCACTGGGTAAATTGCATGTAGCTGAACACTGTATAAATTGACTTTTGTTTCTTTCCTGCTGAGCTTGCAGCATGGGYTGGCATTCCTTCCATTCTGATTCTGTTTCATGTAGTGTCCTGCGTGCATTACCCAAGTGCCAACAGGTWATGCATGAAGCAATTTACCCTCAGTGTAATTTGATATGTATTTTATCTCCCCCCCACCACCCAGCTTATTTCCAAGTGCTTTCTTAGTACTAGTTCAGAAAAAAATGAGATTCAGTCACAAATCTGGATTCAGTCACAAATCCCACCTCACTCGGAGGTGAGACTGACCTAATTACCACATACAATTTTTCTAGAATCCCTTTTCTCTTTGTCTCCTGAACAGCCTTTTACAGACTGATACTGCAGGTACACTATCATATTTTCTGAGTCGAACTCCACTCGTATAAGCCTGGCATGACTGTGTCCTCCCTCTAAAAAGAGGAGGGGGAGGGCTTTTTGTACCCCCTTGAAGTTATTACCTATTTATTAGCTAGGTCACTAACATATTCTGCTGTGCCCTCTTTGCTTCAGGTTTAGTTTTGTTGTTCCCTCCTTACACAGTTGACTTYGTTTTCCTTTCCCCATGCTGGGCATTTTTTGTGTTAGCATCAAGTTCTGACATCACGTAGCTCCTCACCCTCGTGTCCAGGAGGAATTGGATGTAATACTTGTCAGTGTGCTTGTTGACAAGAAACACAAAATGTTTTATGTATTTTGGCCATGCTGATTCACTGGAAACATTGACTTCTTGGAGGGGCTATTGGAAAAATTGGTTCTACAGCTCTCCAAAATAAYTTTTGTACCTTGATCTGAAAGCATTCTGGGAGACTTTTTGCTTCTTTCCTGTTCCATTAAGACATGGGTCTCCCTGCTGCAGCCGTTCTGCTTTTAATGTGTTGCTCCATTTCCAGGCAGACATACCATTCTTTGAGCGGATTTCATTGTTCTCTGGCTGGTTTTCCACTTGCCTTCTCTTAAGGAGGTAAATTTGTCAGCCTACTATTTTGGTCTGTCAATTCATTGAAGCAGCAGACTSTATGATCAAAGCTGCAATAGCAATCCAAAACTGGAAAACCAAAACTCCACTGTGAATAAGAGCTTTTTTCCTTTATTCTCTGCTTTTGTCCTTATCTCTGGAAATGAGATGTTACAGGCACCTGCATCCATGGAAGCAAGATGAATGTGCAGTCTTTACTGGTCCTATAAAACCTATCCTATAAAAATTCCCAGGTGAGGCTGTTAAAATAGTGTTACTGCAGGAGTCCAAGGCTTGCATAGTTAATCGCTCTGAGCTCCAGATAGGTTTAAAATAAGTTTTGGTCAATTTTTCAATGAGTTTTGTAACTGCCCTTTCATTTGCTGCACATGAACATCAGACCTTTATTTGAGATACCTTTCTTTTTGTATTTSAAATATTGCAACCTAGCTAAGCACTTGGGTTCTCACCCTGCTCTTGGGCAAACCTGCATCTTGTCCTCCCTGGCGGTGAGCATGGTGGCTCCCTTGGCAGCCACAGAACAGTGTGTAAAATGTCAATTTGAGCTGTTGATTGTCACTTGCAAAAGCCCAGAAGCATCTGCCTAAAACTGATTTTAACTGGTGACTGTTTTTTGTGAAAATGTTTTAAAAGGTGGCTTAAGKATGATCCACAGTGTGCACCTGAGTTTCATGAAAAATCTAAAGCCAAAGATTTCAAGCAAACCTATTTTCCTAAACAAATATTGTGGTTATATTTAATCTTTTCTTCTCTTTTCAAAAGCCAAATTTATAAATACTATTTKAGGAATATTAACTCTTGACATTCTCCATCAGTTGAAGGTGTCCACTGGCTGTTTTGTGAGGCTTGRTCCTATCTGGTATTACTATGCCCCAGTGAGAACATCCTTTACTGCAACCTTGTGGTGGCCTCCAGGCCTTTTCCAAATCTGGATCTGCACACCATGAAATTGCAAGTGTGGATTAAGGTACAGACAGAGCAGATTGCCTGCAGCAATGTCCTGACAGGCACCTCATGGGCTGTCTGTCAGCAGGTCACTATAAGGAGAAGTGGGAAAACATGCTCCTGCCATCTCCAGGGAATACCTTAGGACCCAGCACTTAGGACTTAGGACTCAACAGCAGGTTGATGGGGAAACAGGATGGGAAGCTGGGAGAYGTCCAGTTATCAAATTCATGTAAGWMGCAGGTAGAGGGGAAGAGCYCAGAAGRCAWGCACRTTTCCCTTTCTCTGCCAATATTTACCTCAGTTTCCCCAGCATCTCTGCCTTGGCTGGCTAATCAGCCAATAGGTACTTCCAATGGAGGAGTCTTGAGTTACTGATTGTCACAAAAATTCTCAATAATATATTAAAATAAGTCCCTATAGTAGGAAAAGTTGAAAAAAGGGTTTGGAGGTGGGTCAGTCTCCCACCAGAAATTGTTAAGAGGTGAGATTCGGCTCTCCCCTCCCTTTGACTTGTTTTTTTTCTGGAGTATTTTGTGGAAGAACTTGAAAGCTACTAAAAAATCATCTTCTGACTAGATAGGTGGAGGAGATGGGACTGAAGGAAGAATTTCTGAGCATGTCAGAATCAACCCAGAAACCTAGCGGGACAATAACAAATTGTGAGAGATAACGAAGTGTCAGGTTTTCTGCTCACTTCTGACACTGCAGTTCTTTTCCTCGCACATGTAGGCAGGCTCTCCTCCACACAGAGGAGGCAGAGGGTGGAGCTCGGCGCCTGTATAAATTATATGTGTCCTTCAGGTTATTTCAGCAGAGCAGCAGCAGCACAACAAGCTGCCAGCGTGTTTGTCAGCTGACAGATCTGTAAACCAAATTGGGCTTTCGGTCGCTGCTGCCATCTTTGGTGCCATGGGGAGCCCACCAGCCAAGGTAAGAGAGTGGCAGCCCCATGCTTCGCTCTGCCCGAMACTGCTCCAGCTCTCCCGAGCAAACTCCCTCCCTGGTGCATCTGCTGGGATGCAGAGGCTGGTGCAGTGTGGCAGGGGCATCCTGAACTTTGCAGTCACTGCTCCCCCCTTTCACCTGGCAGTAACCAATATGTAAGGAGCTTCAGTGAAAACACAGCGAAAACGGGGCCCTTTGCTTTTATCGTGCGGTGTACGTGCCAGAGTGAAGTCTGTGAAGGAAAAGGAGGATGGCCTTGAARGATTTACCTCCCATAAAATGAAAGTGCTTTAGCTCCCTGCGTGCTTTTCTCTGGATAGCACATGCTCGTTGCTTGCCCCAGCAGAGATAAACCAACAGCTTTATCTMGCAACAAAGCATAATCTATATTACTTTAGCTGCAGGGGAGACCTCTAATGAGCTGTTCGGCTCCTCAGATTTAGCTATTTTTGATGTAATGTTTACAGCGTTTGCAATTCTAGTGGAAGTATTTCATGTCTGGACTTGAGTTTTCTAATAGTAATTCCCATTCAGAGGTTTTAACCAGTAGCTTTTAGTATAAAGCAACAGAACTATTAGCTGAAAATTCTTTTCTCGTGTATATCTTAAAAAAATAGTGGATGCGGTGTCTGAAAACAAGATGTGAATTATTTTCAGGTAGTCATTCTTTATGTGTCAAACCCTATGTCAGATTTTACAGCAAATGAAAGAAATATGGTAATTCATGAGTTTAAAATATAGTGATGTTATATTAATTAAAATATTAGATRCTAAGGTGTRTAGAKATCATTAATTGTGCCATGGTAATATTTGCAGGCAAAGTTAAAGATTCAGAAAAAATATCAGTAGCTCGAATGGATAGCTTAAAGGATAGATTAAAATATTCAAACATTGGATGCTCAAGGCAAAGAATATAAATTGTAAATGTCCTGTACTTTCTGGATAAAATTTGTGTATATTCTGCCTATCAGATTGAGACGTATCTATCTAGCTGTTGTAGCTATGAATGCTATCTATTTTAAATATCAATGTTGTATCTAATAAGACAATTCTAGATCTGATAGATGGGCAGACAGCTCAGGTATAATTTTATCTGGAAAGTTCCAATGACAAAGTTCTTGCATTTCATCCCAATGCTGCAACTGCTGTTCCATGAGTATGGACAGACTGGTTAATGGGCACCACTGCCAGAAGGYTTGAGCACAAGCACAGTTTCAGGTCAGAAAGCTTCTGTTTCCAAGGAAAAAGATTAATTCAGTACTGCAGGTAGCTCTGCTATTGTTGCAGGCAAACGCCAGTTTGTGAAAGCTGGTAAAATAGATACAGAAGTAAGAACAGAGTGGTTTTGTATTTTGTGTTGTTTTTTTTTTTTTTTTACATTAAAAAGCCCACATGTTTGGAAATGTGTGGATACTTCGAACTGTSTAGGAAGACCTCCTAGTCTCCCAGTTAGTTTTTTTCTCTTTAAGAAAGCTGCCAAATTGACACAGAAGTGATTGTCAGTATTAATCTACAAATTTTCRTWTTCRGAACAARRTGTTTTCTTCKGCCCAGACAAGAATAATCCCTCTTYAGAAGTTTTATTTTGTAGACYATGGAATAATTTTTGTCTGGTAAAATACTCAGAAATTTTGTCAATATAAAGCCCTGAGGGATCCACTCATATATGTAAAGAGGTGACTGATATATGTGAGCAGGAGATACATCCTAAATCCACAATGACTCTTGAAGTAATCCATCAGTGATAACATGAAATTACAGAATATGTTTGTAATGTGAATTGAATTTCCTCATTAGTTTTTCCATTTCTGATGATAAAATTTTGGACAACTGTGATTCCCAAGGAAAATTATACTTTTCTCGCAATGCTCTCTCCTTCTMTCCCCTCTCATGGTTTTCCATATTTTTTCAGTCAGTCATTTTTTCCCACTAGAACTTTTCATGCCTTTTATTTTAATGGAAGTCGGCAACTGTTTGGAGGGACAAATTGCTAGCAGTGTTCTCACTGATGGAAGGGCTCATAAACTCAGCCCATACTAGATGTTATAKGATCTRTGTGGAAGAGAGTGCTTTGGAACCMGGCTGGTCATGAAGCTTTCTTAAAATTTATAAGTTTATAGTTGTAATCTCAATTTGATAAATTGCCAAATTTCAGTTGAGCCAAATCCTCAGTGTCTAATATAAAATAAATGGTAAGAATATGCCAAATGATTACATTTGGTGTGAGATCTTGTAGACAAGATACTTTACAGCTTCTAGTACACCATTGGAGAAAGAAGTAATCCATGAAATAAAGTAATTAGTCATGTCTGAAAGATATTTATTAAGCTGAGTGATAAATCCTGCAGCTATTCAAAATGTCAGAAGACAGCAAAATCCTCATCTAAAGCTTAATAYAATTTGGCTTTATCCTGTGGTGATAACTGCTCAGAGAACTGCTTAGGCTTGGTGCAGGGAGAGTGAAACACTGACATTCCAATCAGCYTTCCAACATGTCCAAACCAAGGACATTTTTAAAACTAAAAAAATAGAAAAATAAGAAGGGAAGAGGTAGTTATGGGACAAGGTTCCCAGATTGGAAAAACTTCCTTAGAATATGAACTTTCTAGTGAAGGTAGCCATGAGATTTTGTTCTAGTAGCAGCATAGAGGAGCAGTAAAGACTGAAATCAAGCACAAGAGCACTTGGTAGGTTTTTCTTTTTTTACTGCCATCCACAGACTGTCTTGGTAGGCTCYTCAATATTTATGATCTTAGAGAAGATTTCATAAGCTCAAAGTTGTCTTTTTGGAATGAAACCTTAAGTGACTACCTGCCTGTAAACAAGAAAATTACGTGTCCTTCCAAAGCTGATCAGTATTCCTATGGAAGAAAGTCACTGAGTGTGTATTGTTACAATCACTGAGATGTTGGCAACAGATGTGAATTTTCAGTTTTTTTAAGGTTTGATACAGCTGTGGCAATTCTGAAATGCTAGTTTTATATCCTAATTACTGACTCTTGTGTATTTTAAACAGAAGTTACTCTCAAAGCTTGCTTTGAGAGTACAGAAATATAGTTGAATGCTAAATGCTACCGATTGAAAAGAAGTTTGTTGGTTTTTTGGGGTTGGTTTTTTTTTCCCCCAATTTTCAGCCTTCCCTTTGGTACTCAGGAGATGCTACTATTTATTGGCCTTGAGTGTTACTGCTTAGGATGCAACAATACACAGGTAGCTGAATCCCGCACTTTGTGGTTTTTTGCCTCAATGTCACACTACTAGTTTTCCAACAGAAACAGAATGATGTGCTTCTGGGAAGGCTGCCTTTGACTCTGGATGTTTATGCAGGGGTTTTGTTACTCTCTTCATGCCCGTACAAGGAACCATATTTCTTCCAGGAAGTGAACTAAAACCAGCAAGACCAATACAGCTGCAAGTCTGTCAAGGGCTGTCAGGATATGGTGTCTGTGTTCATTAAGTTGCATTAATTGTGAAGTTATATGTTGCTTTTCATGTTATGAAAAAAATCAAGTGGTTCCTTCAACTGTAATTACTTTTAGGCAAAGATTTCATTTTAGACCATCCAAATCAGACCCTAATAGTCTGCTCTGGTCTGTTGTTGAAGAAAATTAGCTCTGCCTTTTGTCTGATGAAAAAAAGGAATTAGTCCACTTCAGAATGGTTGTCACAGGCTGGAGTAGCCGCAGTCTTGGGAGAGGGATGGTTTCTGGCTTCCCTGTGGGATTTACACAGCCCACAGGGTTTATTGCGGCCACACTTTCCCGTCTGAATCTGTTTGCCTTTTACCCTGCRACAACACCAGGACTAAGCTGCACTGAATGAGAAGGAGTGAAAAGTCATCTTCCATGATGGTTCCATCATTTGGCAAATGTTGACATATTTAAGGAAAGCGATTGCTGTTGGAAGGGGAAGGGAGGAGGAGTGAGGCTCTCTGGCTGTAGTGGGAGGGGATGAAAACATTTCATTTATCACATCTGAGAGTACTCTCAAGATGTCCTGCAGATGCACCATTTTTATAAGCAATTAGGAAATTTTCATCACAAAAGGTTCAAAGCAAGTTTTATGCCAACATCCGTTTCTTCAGTGAAGGCAGGTTCTGAGAATGGCTTGGACTTCTGCTGAGCAAGGGGGAAGTTGATTTCAAAATGACAGGGAATTAGCATATTAATTAAAACCAGTCACCTCTGTAATTGTCTACATAATCCAATAATTCATGTAAATGAAAACCACTAGGAATGCTGAGTGAGTGTTCCAGTTAGTACTTCTGTGTTAAATAACTATTTGCACAAGAAAATTAAAGTCAAATTCTTTCAGTGAGCAACTGGAATCATATGGAAGTGTCCCAACTGGAACTTGTAAAGTCCACAATGCATTAAACTAAGAAAGTTTTAAATATATAAATTTTAAATTTGAAGAAGGACATACTCAAAAGAACTCTTGTCACACAAGAATAAATTTGCTTTGTGTTTTTATACAAATCAAGAGACAGAGTAATGTGATTTTATAAGTTTTACAAGGGTTTCTCTGCTCAGGGCAACTCTTAAATATTAATCTGAATTTTTAAAGTACGTAACTTTTAAGTGACATAATAAAATTTAATATTAAGCCTTTATTTGAACATGCTAATTCACAGTTCAAATGATATCCATCTGATGTAACATAAGTTACCTCTAAACAAGCCTGAATGAAACTGATTTCAGGCGATTCTCATATCTAATAAATATGTCCAGTAGTTCCAGTAGTCTTCACCTCATTTTAAAAGAATTTCAGATTAACTGTGGTGAATGACTCCTTCTGTAGAGAGGTTTCTCCTTCTCCAGCAGTTTGTATCTCCAGAGTTATCATTTCAGTGTCAGCAAAATTAACAGAGTGCTAACTTTCAAAATKAAATGGCCAAATTATTTAGTGACAGTGTAATGAGATTCTCTGTTTAGGCAAATAGAGACAATAGTTCAGTTGGTAGTTTAAGATTTAAGTTTAAGTTTTAATTTATTAGTGGTAGTGGGACCGTAATYCCAGCATGTTATTATTGCTTAATATTACTGACAAGCCATACTGATAAGGCACAGAAAAAAAAATAAAACAACAGAAAATTTAAGGAAAATTTAAATGAATCAATTTGAAAAAAAAGAAATAAGTATTTTTCCTGGTTTTGTTATTAAGATTGCTACATTTATATATGTGTTTATTCATGCTTATCAGAACATCTTTTACAAATGGCAAAAGTTCCATTGTGTRTGTACTTCCACTTGAGGATGATGGTCTCACTTCAAGAACAAGACAAGGACAGACTGTCTTGTTTTTGTATTTTGAGCTAATAAAATTATTGCCTTTGTTTTCTCTGCAGATGAAGTTTTGCCCCATCCACATGCTTTCTGTAAGAATCATACAAGCTAAGAACATCAAGTCAAGAGACCTGTGTGAGTTGTGGTTTGATTGTGTTTTTAGTCACCTCCAGAGTTTGCGCAATATTCTTAAGTTCTGAAGGTATGCAAGCAACGTACACAAAGCACAGCARTAGAAATACTAATGCCAGGGCTGCAATTAGATCAAATGTCTGAGGTGTCATTAGGTTGGAATACATCTCTAGTGGCATTTCAGGGAACTGGTAAAAACAAAGACACCCAGATGAATTTTCTGGGCCAAGAAGGGAAGGTGGACTTTGTTAGGACACCGCAATCTATGAATCTGCTTGGGCAGAAATTTTGCCGCACAGGCTGTGAATTTAGGGACCTTTTATTGAAATGTACCAATCGTGCATAATAATCAAAGGTAAATTGGAGAATTTCAAGCCTTCTAAAATACTTTATTTTTCAGGTCACATTAAATGATATTTATCCCTTTGGTTAAAGAGGAYGTCTGTAGATTCAGCCCTAAGCCCATGCTGAACATGCAGGCAAAACAGACTTTTCTGTGTACTTCACAGMCTCCCATGTCTTCTTCTCCAGGTGTGCTGTGGACCATTCAGCCATTCAGCTGCCATTTATGCAGAGGTGTCCCGAGGGTTCCTCAGTTAGGACAGAAACCTTGAACACCCTTTTGTCAGTGTTGAGACTTCTGGCCTGTGTGTTGCTCTAGCGAAAAATGGCTCAYTCAGCAAAAAATGGCTCATTCAGCAAAAAAAGCTTCATTTTGCAATGATTTTCTTGTGTTACAGCTGAAATCATCCATGCCTTGCCATGCATGGCTGAGCCTGGATGTGAGGGAGCCCGAGGGAGTGAATCTCCTGTTGGTTAACTGCCTACCAAAGGCTTACTGTGCTCCAGTGGCAAATGCCACATGGCACTGTCCAGAGGTGGCCACTAGAAATGTGTTGGTGTGACAAGGCCTGTATTTCTGAGTTTCAATGATCTCTTCTATCTACTCTATTGAAGGGACAGTTCCACTTTCGTGCCAAAACTTTGCGGGGCAATGTTATTCACTGCTCGATACCAGTCTGAAGTATTTAGGCATCTCGGGCTGCAGTAGAAATCTTCAGTCAAGTCCTGACTCCAGCTCTGAAAGACATCACTTTGGAGATTTCCGTTGTCCAGCTTCACAAAGTAAATGCACTTCCCCACCCTGGCTTTCCCYGAAGGATGGCTGCTCGAGGCACTGACCGCACTAACCATAAGGAATAAATACAGCTGGAAGGGAAATGAAGATTTCCAACTTGGAAATTGGGCCCATGCTGGCCTTGAGCTGCATCAGTTCATCTCACCTAGTACCTAACACCTCTACAGCCACTGCGTCCCCTCCGCATGTTGGTGTGGCTAGACTGGGCAAGCCAGTCTCTGCTCTTTGCTGTAATATGCATTCTCCTTTCCTTAATCATCCTAACAGCCCTTTTTGGAACCAGCTGGAGTTTCAGTTTAACTTTTTAACATCATTGACTGGAATTGTAAGGACTATKCCCGAGGAATGGTCAGCATAGTCCACTTTCCTCTTTCTCTTCACRTGGGAAACATGGCTCTTAGTGTACTTTGTGCATGCATGTGTACATTTGCAGTTTGTAGTTACTCAGGAATTAGATGGTTATCCTTGGTTGTTTCCAAATGGTGATCTCTTTACTAATTAAAAAAAAAAAAAAAGTAATATTTATTAATCTCCAGGATTATGGCCTAGCCCTGCTTTTCACCTATAACATTGGCATCAGGTTTTTAATTTTTCTCTGCTGCAGTGACTGCGTCAGACTGCTATGTGCGCTTGTGGCTGCCGTCTGCTTCACCTGGAACGCTTCAGACCAAAACCGTCAGGAATTCTGACAACCCTGTCTGGAACGAGACTTTCTACTTTAGGATCCAGAGAGAAGTTGAGGTAGTAAAAAAAAATTAGRAATTTCACATTTTGCGTAGCTGGGAGTCCTCACTTGAAACCCTGTTGATCTACTGTGCTAAATAACTTTAGAAAATGCTTGTTTAACAGACTGGTTGGTTAGTGCAGAGCAATAGATGTAAGCAGCAGTGTTTCCCTCAGCTTTTTACAGACACTGGTGATGTAAATGCCTGTATCTAAGCTAGTCCAGGCTCCCTTTGTTGTCACCCGAGTGAAATAAGCGCTGTTGTAGCACAATTCCATGCTATTTTGGAATGGCTAATTTAGAAAAAGCTTTTCCTCCACTGGTTCTAAGGGAAGARCAGAAAAGTTGCTGTGGTGTAGACAACAGATTTAATCCTTCCCTAAATTGTGGCATTTGGAGAACTTGGGGGATGAAGAAGCTAAGTGTTTTCTTTGGGTGGGTTATCACCCAAAGGTGATATGGTGCAGAGGACTGGCTTATCTTCCATCTCGGGAGAGTGGGAACTCTCTGTTAGAGGTAGTTGTTTTCTATTTCACAAGTTTCCCAAGACTGGGTTTAATAATGTTCTACATTAGCAGATTCCTGAGGGAAAGGACATGCTTCTTTATTCTTACTGCTCTGATAGTGAAACARCTGCAAAAATCTAAATTTTGTTTGTTTTTGTAAAGGAAGGTCAATAAGTGTTGTTATTTATTTTCTCTGCTACCAGAACATTTTRGAATTGGCAGTGTGTGATGAAGATCCACTCACCAAAGATGACYTGCAGTTCACAGTTCTTTTTAATCTTGCTAGAATCAGACCTGGGGAGAGAGTCCGCGAGACATTTGCTTTGAAATCAGAGGTAAGGGCTAAAAACACAGGGGAAGATTGACAAGAGGTCATTGTCCACTTTGTCTTCCACGTTAAGTAGGGTTTGGATGTTCATAAACAGGTAGCCTTATATGTCATTATCAATACCTCACCAAAACAGATACAGTTTTGCTGTATTTTTGTGACTTCATGAATCTCTTTTTACAAATTCAGAAAATGAAGCAACTTCTCGCTCATGCTCTGTGAGACATAAAATACTTTAGTAAGAAGCATCTGTAAATAATAATTTTTCCCTTTTATAATCCAAATAAATACTTCCYTGCCTTTCAGCTTTAATCCACTTTTGCCATGGTTAGGGAACATTTCCTCTTACATGGCAACKTATTTATTAAAAACATGAAGACAATTCAATTATTGCTTGAATTGAATGATTCTTTCAGGCTTTTCCTTGTTGGTGTTCATGTTGGGCTTCCTTCTAGGTGATTCAGATTTCTCTAGCCCATAGTAAAGGAATGTCTGTCCTGSTAACATCTTTGGTATTTTATTAAGGAGCCCGTGAAAGAGAGTTGTGCAGTAAACAAAGCTGGGATAGGTCTGTGACAGCTCCTGGGCTTGTCTGAGCTGTGGCTGAGGTGTTGCTACACACCTTGAAGGAAGGAGACAGTTTGTAAGAACAGCTACCTCTCACATGCTGAAAGCTGTTAACATGGATTTTCCTTGTGACCCTGCCATTGGTGCTGTGCACTTCTCAGACAGTGGCTGAGTCACTGGGAAATACAATGATTCAATTACCACATCAGTCACTTGCCTAATTCATCTCWTCTGGATTCAGTTCAAATGTGATTTAAATGGTTTGTATGTGGAAATGTCTCTGGCCTTAGTCACATTTGTTGCTGGGCTTCAGTGCCTTTTACCCGTGGACAGTACCTTGGAGAGAGTCATTATATTTCCTTTTCAATCAAGCTTTCTCTCTCTGATTGGAGATATGTATAATTCTACATATCACACAATGGGAGACTATTAATCTTATGTGCCTTTCACAAGTCTGTGTTTTCTGTTGCAATCTCAGCTTTGGAAAGACACAGCAGAGAGCTTGTTTTGACATCATTAGCAGAAGAGTTGTCAGCCCTGTAAGTGCTTTTTAGGTGTGTCTGTGCTGCCAAAATCTCACAGCCTCCAATAATCGGTGTTTATTATACCCTTTTCTTTTTAGACAGAGATGTGCAGTAAGAAATGGGAAAGTTTGGAAGTGGAATTCTGGATGGAAAGAATGTGAGTAAAATTCCGAAGCTGAAAGGTATAGATCTGCCAGGTAGTAATAACATCTCAGAGTCTGAGAAACTTCTTCCAGCTCTTTGTCCCAGCAGTCAACCTAAACGACAGTTTCAAAAAAATTTTTAACCTTAACTTCTCTAGCTAATTCCACCCTTCAGTCTGTTTCATACAAATCTTAAACTTCTGTTGAACTTGTATTTCCAGATCCTGGAAATGTAATAAAATTGTCACAAGTGATAACTTATACACAAGATGCATGTGAAACTCAACGTGAGTGCTCTTCAAATTGTTGCTATTAATTGAGCAATGCCTAGAGCACTGTGGGATTGCTCAGAGACAATAAAACTTGTATTATTATAACATGGAGTTATGTAGACAGTATTAGAAAAGTCACCCATTAGGTGATAGCTTAGTTAAATTGAAAAAATATACAAATAATGAAAAGAAGACCATCCCTCTGAATGTGGTAATCAGCATTGTCTGGAGGAGAACAAGTCCCATAAGATAAACTTTATCTGTCTTAAATGCTATCACAGGTTTGGTTGAAGAAAACCCCCTAAACTATGCATTCCAGAATATTTGAGCTTAGCATTAGCCAAAAAAAAAAAAACCAAACAAAACAAAACAAAAAAAAAAACGAAAGTAGTCCAGTGAAAACTGGCTGACTGCATGATCAGGAGAAGGGGCTGTAACTGTGATGTTTAGTTCTTAAACATGAAGAAACATGTTGTTCTTGGTTAATTTCTCTTACAGTAAAACTCAAGAAAATGTATTTATTTTACCTGTGAGAGATACCTTAAGAGATGGTATCATGTATGGTGRTGGTAATCATCTCCTGCAAATGTGGAAGCAGTCACAGCTGATATATAAAAAGRTCAGAATGAGATGCAGTGCTTGGGAGCTGGATTCAGACTAGAAATAAGAGGAATGTCTTTCACTATTCAAGTTATAGGACATGTGGGGGATTTCCATCCTTGGAAATCAAATCTWGTTATTTAAATACATTCTACAGCTGAAAYAGAAGTTTTWWGGCTATAAACRRTGTTGGGTAAAATGCCCTGAACATACAAAGGCTACAYACTACATAACTTCAATGTTCTTTTGGGATATATTGAAAGCATTTATGACTGTGTGCAACACAGGGGTGTTGGAACATGGGCCTTAGGGAAACATGCTGTTAGTAGACTCCATACTCATATTATTAAATAACCACATCATTCAGTGACAGACCAAGGTCTTGCAAAGTAAAATATCTGGGACAAAGACTTTTTATTGCTTTCTTCTGTGTTTTGCAATCATACATACAGCACAGTGGGAGCTAATTCTTATTTGCCATTCATTTGTGATAGCCATAAATKATAATCTGGAATAGTCAGAAATGTCTTTCCTAATAAGTTTTTGCAGAACATGTTAATAGTAGTCTGTGCTTTCCCCAAGTCGTATGGTCATTTGTGAATAGCAGGACATGATTCCACATATACCAATCTGCCTTTGTTCTGCTGTAACTTAGCACATAGGTTTAAGCATTAATATCTTTATGGGCTTTTCTGTCTTTCATTTTGTTTGGCTGCTGTATTTTGGTTCACATGCTTAGCAAGATATCGTGTATTTTACCTTTTAGAAAACAAATTGTGATAGCATAACTGCATTTAATCTTAAGTGGGAAAGGTCATKAAACTGTTATTTAAAAAATTAAAGCATAACAAAAACCACATATTCATATGGCTTTTTTTTTGTTTATTATTTGTTTCTGTCTTTTCAGTCCTGGCCCTCCAGAGCGCCTCATTACCAATGATGTTTTAGTGGTAAGGTTYAGATGAGAATTTATCTTGGAGTGACTTCTGCTTCATTTTGATTCTCTCCTCTTCCCCGCATTTGTAGAGCGCACAAACTTCCAGGATAGATAAGAGCATGGTGCACATTTTAAGGTCAGAGATGTGGGACAGTTCCCTTTTGTTACAGCTCAACTGTTGCCCTCTCGATACAAAAACAGAAGCTCTGTCTGTTCAAGCCCTCAGCTATTACAAATGTCAATATGTTGCCAAGATGTGGTTTGTTGGTATTGCAGAACCCCATATTTGTTTTTGTTCAAAGGAAAATCTGGTTGTGTTTCATGTAACACAGTGAGGCACTTGGCAGGAAAAACAAAGGTTATAAATGGTCTGTAGAAGACAGTAGTAGGTATTCAGTRTGCTTATGACTGGAAGGGTATCTAATAGAGCAGCTTTTTGGGAAATGAGTTTTTAAATAGGTGTTTTAGTTGTAGAAACATAGAGCCCTGTTTTGGTATTAGTCAGCATGTGGTGTGCCAGCTGTCCTCTCAGGCTGCTCCAGCAGCTAAGGAGTGCAAAGTTTTTCATGCCAACCACTCCAAGCCYGTGCACGGTTCCCAGGTGCTAGCCCTTGATTCCCCTGAGGCAAAATAACACATATTTTATTCTTTCCCCCTCATTTTCTGTGTGAGGCATGAGAGTTGCAATGATTGGCATGCATTGTTCCCAAAATGACTTGGAAAACTGTCCTGGCTTGAGCCATTAAAGCTGAACTGGAATGACTCAGGTGCAGGGTAGGGTGGAATAAATCCATGATTTCCCGACATCAGGGCCARCAAGAAGACGCTTTGTAGACTAATCACTGCCACAATACACAGAAACTCATCATCAGGTGTTGCCCCCCACCATTCCTAAATAATTGTCAGATGTATGTGTTTAGACACCAGTGTGTTGACAGAGTTTCTGATTTTGGGATAATTTGAATGGGTTAACAATCTCTGACAATGCACCACTGCATTGACCCTGAAGCAGTGCAACTTGGGCCACTGTCCTGGAATACTGAGCTCTGAATTTTCTCTTGGATTGCTCCCAGCACTGAGACCAGTTCAGCTGGTTCTGTATTATAGGTAGTGGCTGTCTGTATGATGTTTCATTATATGCTGCAGATGTGGCATTTGTTCTCTTCAWCCTTTTCCATTCCTGCCTTCTACAGTCCCGTGAGGTTTGCTGCTTGGAAGTGCATGTGGACATTAACGAAAGCAGGAAATATTTGAGAGGTATGGCAATTTCTCTGTGAACTGAGGACATGACCAAATCAACCCTATTATAGTCATTCAGAGCCAGATGGAGGCATTTTAGAGTACAGAGACAAYTAAGAATRTTCTAAATTATATATAGGTAATGAWATATGATCTAAATAATAAAATGTAATGCACTGAAATGCCTTGAACTTCTCCAGTTGTAACACTGATCTCTGTGTCTTTTCTTGAAGCTRTCAAGTTTGGACACAGTAGACTTTGGTGGTAGAAGTGAGAGAGAGTGCTGACTCTGGGAGCACTCTAAGCTGTGGGGTAAAGCAGGAGTGCCAGTTCYTGTGCTGTAGTGGACTGGCCAGTGGGGCACCTTACACAGGAGCTAGCACAGGAAGTTACTCCAGCAGAAAGCCTGCCAACTTTGTTAGCTATTTTGCCTGAACAGCAGTATTATTCTCTAAGCAAACCTGTTTTTACTAGAGGGTAAAAATCTCGTGCTTACGGTGCCTGCATCTCATGAGAGAAAACAGAAGACTACAGAGAACACGGATACTTTCTACTTCCATTGCTTGAGGGCTTGGGAGCCAGTCCTAAAAGTCAGGCTGCAGGTAATGGAAACCATGCAATGCTGCTGTTCATACTGCTTGGTTGTTTCCAGTGTCCAAAACAGCAAAGAGCTGCATTGTTTCTGTTCTGTTCTGTTCTGTGTTTTTTGTTTGGTATAGAAAGTTTCTGATAAGGAAGATGACGACAGCAATTTAAGTGACACCTTAACGGTACCACTGAAATTTCTCCCTGTTGGACGTAAAGTGAGAGTAACCCTTCCTGTAAGACATGTAAGTGTTTCATAATTTATATGATCTTCTGGAGAGAAGAGTAGWATAACCCTTACTATTTATCACATTATTATTATTCTGAGTGAGAATTTTGGGCAAATACAGGTTTTCTGTGAAAAAGGTTAGTTTTCTCTGAGAAATATGAATTTTCAATGATTGAGAGCTCATCCTGGCAAGTTTGAGATGCATTTCAGACCAACCTCTGCTGTACTTTTACAGTTATAGGAGAATATTGAATACCTCAGCAAGGTTTTGGGATACCCCACTGCTCTTTATCAAGCCTGGGTGCTAGTTCAGCCTATATACCTAAACTTTAGATGGCTGGAATTAAATGTGTTGCATTATGCCTTCAGGAAACAATGCTGTAATATTCTTGCAAGCGTACAATTGTGATGGTAAGTGGTGGAGAGGTGCAACTCTAAATTGCATTAAAGGCAGTAGTAATGCTGCTTTGTGGCCAGGTGGACTGGATGGTCCTTGAGGGTCCCTTTCATCTCAGAATAGTCTATGATCTGTGGAGCTGTTAATGATAGCCAGACATCCTTTCTAGAAATGAGAGGCAAAATAGGAGAAGAATTTCTTAGCAGTCTTTTCCATGAAGAGAAGGGAGAACGAATGTTTGTTTTGCCGCTAGTGATTCCCCACTTCTCTTTTTGGACTCTCTTACCTCCAGCTTTTWGGAAGGATGTGGTGACTGGTACTTCCTCTTCTATCACTGTCTTTATCTTAATTTTCAGGAATATTTCAGCGCAGGTTTTAGTGGGTGGCAGTAAATGCAACCAGAATATTTGGGTACAGAGGGTGGCAATGTGACACTGCTGCTAGGTTAGCCTATTTCATGGACAAATATCCATAGTGAGGAAGAAATCCTGTTTCACAGCCCATTGTTCAGCCACTTCCACCCCTCCTGCCKCTCTTACTTCGCTGTAGAATATGTTTGGTGTTTAGTTACTTTCCACCTCTTTCCTGCTACAATTAAAAAAAAAATAAAAATATGCAGGATAGTAGCATTGGGACTTTGCAGGAGGCACTGAAAATTTGGATACAAAACTTCTCTTTTTCCTGCTCATTSATGTTCCTGCTCTCATCTCTTTGTTTACAGAATGTGCCACTACAGTTGTACCTCCAACTAAATGATTGGTAAGAGGACCAGCTTGTTTTTTTTTGGTTTTGTTTTTGTTTTTGTTTTTTTTTATCTAGAGGTTTTGTTGCTCTTTGAACTCTGAAATCTAGAACAGAGTGTCCTTTATTTAGATATAAGGAATGCACAAGACTAGGGGCAAAATATAACAATAGTTAAGTCACCATTAAAGAGTCACCACAAGAGATCAAAGCTAAATGTTCTGTGGCAAAGGAGTTCCACCAAGACACACAAAAAATTATGAGAGTTTCAAACAGKGAGGAACTTAGTCACTGAGTGTCCTTGGTATCAAAGAACCAAAGAGTAAAACTGGAGGTTTCTTCAAAAAGGGCACAGGAAGACAGCAGAGGGAAAAGAGAATTTGAAGTTACAAAACATCAGGGTCCATACATTACCTAAACAACACAAATACTCTGGAGAAAACAGACTTGTGGCTTTGGGGATAGCAACAAAGAAGTGTAAGCTAGGGAAGACAAAATGTTGCATTGTAAAACAATGAGTCAGACAAGAAACAAGCAAAAATTATTTTAGTGTCTTTTTCATTAKACCGTTTCTGTATAAATCTGCAGTACAAGTACATATGGAAGACCTTGTTAGGTTTAAATCACCCTTTACTCAGAAATTATATGAAGCAGAAATAGAAAGAATTCAGCTTACAAAGGCACTGGAAGACATAGAAGCCTTTCTTTTTTATTTTTTGTATTTGTTATCCTTAGCTCACAAACTTAGTAAATTTTACACTGAATCAATAAAGACACCGTGTAGAAGCAAAGCAGTTGATTTCTTTGAAACAGAAAGATGCATTTCTGTATAAATCTGAACAAGGAATCATGATTTTTTATGTATTTATTAGACTGCAGTTGTTGAAAATAGATCCATATACATTCTAAACACAATTCTGTGCCTCTGGATTTATTTATGTTTCAGCACGGAAAAACTAGATGTGCGCTTAGGGTATGATCTGTGCCAAGAAGAACAAGAGTTCTTGCATAAAAGGAAAAGAGTGGTTGCTGGTGCCCTGAAAAGGGTTCTTCATCTGGACAGAGATCTACATGGACATGAGGTCTGTGCCTTGGGATCCCAGCATGGGGTGTGGGGCTGTTGAATTAGGATTGGCACAACTCTCCACAGAGTTTCTGGGAGTTTTTGTATGTAGATAACAAACCCATTGACTGAATGGCATGTAGATAACAAACCCATTTGAGCAGAAAAGGTTCTCGGTGTGATGTTCCCCATACTGGTGCAAAATCTCAGCTCAGCTATTCGTGCCTCCATTCTTTTCAATGGGCCAAATTACCAAAAYATACCCCTCTTCAAAGCCAGTTCCCAACAGTATGATGCTGTGGGTCAGTAAGATGAGGCACTGTGTTAGATRCAGCCTAGTCAGACAACCTAAACCAATATGAAAACAGGAATATTGGAAATTCACCTCACACAGATATTTATTAAATAACCACAGTGTAATGTCATATTTTTAGGCTTGCTTTTTTTTCTTCATTTTCAGAACACTTCTTACAAAAATTAAAAGTAATTTGTGGTGAAGAAAGAACATTAGAGCATTTTATAACAAGTATGTTTTGTTGCCAGGATCCAGGGTGAATTTTTAAAGGAAAACCTCTTTTCTTCCTGGAGTTATATTTATTGAATGAATGCAGTCCAGAGAATCAGCTGGGTTAAAAAAACTTCCTTAATCCATTTTAATTGCATTTTTTGCAATTTATATAAATTTATATATTTATAAATTGTTATTTATAATAAAAATCATGTCATTATCTCTTCATAAGTATTGCAATTCCAATTATAAAGAGCAAGGATATGAAGGAAAATGAAAATGAGTGCATATTCAAGCTCATCCAAGCACTGGGGTTAAGAGTCTCTGSAGGTTCATTTAAATAAGGTACTGGTAAAGATTGGCTAAATGGTCATTTAATTTCATTGTCCTCCAATGAAGTCTGCTGAAGAAATTCTAAGAGCTGTAATTAGACTTTTCCAAGGAAGCATAGGAATAACTTTCTGAGGCTAATACTTGTATTTTGAACAGGTCCCGGTGATAGCTGTTATGGCAACAGGGGGAGGTCTCAGAGCAATGTCAGCTATGTTTGGCCACCTCTTAGCTCTCCAGAAGCTACATCTGTTGGACTGTGTCACGTATCTCACCGGGGCTTCTGGYTCAACATGGTGCGTACAGAAAATGAGATTTGTTCTGGGATGGCTGTGATTACTTTTCCACACAGTGAGAAGTGCCTCTGTTTCAAAGACTTACATTGTTAACAAGTGAACATAATTCCCTTGTGAAGCTCTTGCTGCTGGCTCCCAATTATAACTTCAGTTTAGGTTCACTGGTTCTCTTMATTGATTTACTGTGTAAATGTATCAATTTTTAAAAGTAATCTACATAATTGGGTGATTTTCTCACATTTCTGCTCCTTAGGACCCTAGCAGACCTGTATGAGCATGCTGACTGGTCACAGAAGTCTCTGGAGGGGCCACTTAAGGCTGTAAAAGARCAAGTGACAAAATGCAAACTCAACCTCATGTCTATAGACCAYCTGAAGTATTATCACAAGGAACTCACTGAAAGGGCAAAAGCAGGACATGTGTCGTCTTTTACAACTCTGTGGTCACTTGTTCAGGAGATGTTCTTACATGAACGGGTAGGTGCATGGTCCTGCCACRCATTTGGGAAGCAGCCACTTATTTTCTGTAGAGCTTTGCTTTTTGAGGGCATGATGTAATGTGTGTAACAAATCCRAAGAGACTGAGCCATCTGAGTGGGGTTTGTAAACTATGGCAGAGGATCTTGTAGCCAGGATTTTCCAGGTAGATAATGAGGTGCCTCTGTACTGGGGTGCGCAACAGCTGGTGACTTCAGTAGGCAAACTTCCAGAAAGAACTGAGGAATTCCCACCYCCATCCTCCCTGAAAAGTCAGATATTTTAAAGTCTGTTTCTATTTTGACATTTAGAAGTTAGAGTGATCTGTCCTCATSTAAATATTGATCTCAGCCTTAGTAAAGATCTGTGGGATGCAGGCAGTCAAGGCACTTAGATATGATAATGAGAGTTGCTTGGTATCCCAGGAAGGAAAGCGCAGGGACATGAAGGAAAAGGTCTCTTACAAAAATGCAACTTATGGATTCCTCTGTGTTGTAAAATATCTRTTATCGATCTTTACTTGAGTAGATTGTGCTAGTGTGCTCTTACAGAGGTTTACTGTGATTTTTCAATCTCACTGATTAGCCAAGAAAGTACAAACTCACAGACCAGCGCAAGGCATTGCAGCACGGACAAAACCCATTGCCTTTCTACGCAGTCCTCAATGTGAAAGAGGAGAAGTTTGGTACTTTYAAATTTAGAGGTAAGTGTTCTAGAGTTTCTTCTGATTCTGGGTATGGACTAAAGAGAATTTGGAGAGAGGTGTGTATATGTGGAGAAAAAAAGGGGAATACATCCGTTGTTTGCTCTGACTCTGTCCCGACTCAACATTTATCTTTTAATAAAATGTTTGTCTCTTTTGCAAACTGCTGCATGTTGGTTAGAAAAAGCACATCTGAGGATATCATCCTCAGCCATTAACAGGACATTAATTAAAAWTCTGGGGTGGAGTCCTATTTTTGCAACGACAGACATTGTGAGTGAGTGTGGGAAAATCAGCTGATCTTTTTCTGCCATGCCTATAAAAYGGCTTTGATGCTTCCTTAGTTTCTAGGCGTGCTGTGAAATATAATTATCGCTTCCTAAATACTGCACTGATGAGGGTATGAAAATGGAGTGGAGTATGATTGCTGTGATGGGTGTGATAYCACATCCTTTAAATGGACACAGGTCACATTAAACAAAAGGTATTAAAAGTAGCAGGGAAGGGAGAGCAATTAGTCCTAACATTTAGTTAAATTTTTAGCTATTGTTCTACTGTAATGCCTGTGCAGGACAGCTTGAGCCAGGAAACTGTATATCCATATCACATTCTGGTGATTTCTAGTGTGGTGATGCAGACTGGCAGTTCTGGGTTAGTACAACTTCTGGTTGCAAATAATCTCTCAACTTGTGTGGATGTAGGTGGTGCAGCTTGCAGCACAAAGGTGTGGATAGTACAGAGCTGCTGAGACAGGCAAGRTCCTTGGAGCTTGTGGAKAGTTTKGTCTACATGGGRAAGTTTTGGGGTTTTATTTTTATTGTGACAAACATCCCCCATGTCGATTCTTTTGTAGAGTGGGCAGATTTCTCTCCCTATGAAGTGACCATACCGAAATACGGAGTCTCCATTCCTTCAGAATATTTTGACAGCGAGTTCTTCATGGGAAGGCGAGTGAAGAAGCTGCCAGAATCTCGGATCTGCTATCTGGAAGGTGACATAGCAGTGCAATATAGCTAATCACACATTGTAGAAAACACAATACTTGCTAGCCACAGGCCTGTATACAAGACTCCTTGTCAGCAGGTCTGCTTTAGGTCTTAATTCAAGGTGCCTTTTACCTCTGTACATTTCTCCTCTTAGTATGTCTTCTTTCCTCCTGTCTTCCCTTTCCACCTGGGTAGATTTRGGAAAGTTGCAGCATGGTTCCTATYCYGTTTTCTAAACCAAACCAGATGRTGGAAGAGGCAAATTGAGGAAATAATAAGCATTCCTTCCCTGATTAGTCTCCAACTCCTCAACTTCATARATGGTATTTCTAGCCAATGCATTCCTGGGGTAGAAGTGGAAGGAGCTGAAAAAAAAAAGTCATCTAAAATAATCCACAAAGGYAGAAGCCACCCACGCTTTGTGGATTGGGGATGATATCACTAAACTTCTCTACTCATAAGGATAAAGGATGCCTTTTTGACCTCCAACAACTACTTTAACTGGCCATTTTGCCATTAAAGATGAAGAGAAGGGAAAAAGCAGCTAGTCAGAGGAACCCATCTCTCCCAGGTAGATTTTAAATCCTTGCAAGAGTTGTAGTTTTGATGCCAAAAACAAGGGTAGAGGAGAAAAACCCATATTTCTCTCACTGTGGAGTCTGCTAGAGATTTAGTTTGTTCCTCATGTGAGTACCTGGCATAGARCTTAATGACAGAGGAAAGTTCTTYCTTTTCCAAAAGCAGGGTCACATATGGAGCCAATTCTGTTTTGAACCTGGACCAGCTGCACTCCACAGAAACAGAACATGCCTGGAAGGAAAGAATGAGCCTTAGATAAATCTAAATAATAAATCAGTTTAAAGAAGGCGCTTATGCTTACATGGCTTCACGATGCTTTCAAAGCTTACTTTCTCTCATRGGTACACAGGAAATGCTCTACAACATCATTTGGGTGGCTGGTACCTCTTATTTTATTACTCTGTGCTATGCAGGGAATATTCCATGTGTAGKTACCTCCTGAGAAAGAGCACAGAAACGCTGACACCGCTCTGAACTCTCAGAAAACTGCTGCTTAAGCTGTGTCATGGTGGGGCCAGGTTGGGTGGGCTGAGAATGTGTAGCATGGATGTTTGTAATAGTCAGTGGTTAACATGTGRTAATGCAGTACTTCTCCCATTTGGTTTGACTTGCAGGTCTTTGGACAAAYATCTTTACTAGGAATTTGCTGGATGGCTTGTACTGGTCCTCAAACTCAAATGAATTCTGGGAACGATGGGCCCAAGATATGGTAGATATAGGTAAGAGTTTCTAAAGTATTGCCTCTCTGTGGCTGTTCCAGCATGATTTTAACCTGTATTAGAATGATTGCTGTGTCTTCTCTCCTCTCTCTGTACTTCTTTACCCCAGAGGCACACTTCATGTTCATACAAATGTTTTTCATTTAAGATTTCCTCGTGGTCTGTTAAATGACTCTGCCCATGACTGCACATGAGAAGGGTGGCTTTTACTTGTGGGCAGAAGTACAAAGCCAGTATATTATTTGAAAGTGTAAAACACAAAAGCTATAGGCACAGCTATTTCTTTATATTCCTTTATATTCCTTTATATTCCTTTATATTCCTTTATATTCCTTTATATTCCTTTATATTTCTTTATATTTCTTTATATTTCATTATGTCTTTATATTTCTTTTCTTTATAGAAAAACAAGTATCTCTTTGTTTAAATAACATGGGTCATATGCACATGTTTTCCAGCAGCATGCAAGAAGCAGGGATGGAAGTGACCCACGGGAAGACAACAAGGGTGGTTAGCCAGCAGAAGCATCTGGCAGAGTAGATTGCTTGTGTTTTTTTCCCTATTTCATGGTTTCTTCTCTATTTCAGAAAGACATTGTCCTGAGGAAGACATTACTGTCATCGAGCCTCCATCTTGTTTGTCAGGAAAGTTGTATGAAATGTTTCAGGACATTATGACCAAGCGTCCACTACTGGGACAGTCGCATAACTTCCTGAGAGGCTTAGAATTTCATAAGGATTATATCCATCAGAAAAAATTTATTGAATGGAAAGGTAACTGCAACAAAGAGTTAGCTGCAGTGTGCAGGTAACATCTCAGATTTTTTTTTTTTTTTTTAGACTTTGGAAAACTCACATTTAGAGATATTTGTTTCAGGGTTTGGAAATMGGCTGATTTGGACCTATGTTCATGGTGTCTGTTTATTTAGGGTAGCAGGGAAAAATGAGCTAGTCCATGGACTGCTCTTTCACTTCCAGAAGATACCTGTAATTTGTGTCAAGGAATGCTCTGCTATAGGAAGTTTGTCAGTCTGCATAGGTGCAGTAGTCAAAAGATTCAGGAAGGGCAGAATCTTTTGAGATCAAGAAACAAAAGTAACACCAGAAGCATAAATTAGCAGGTTATTATGTGGATCAGATGAAGGAAAGGACTGGTTGCTATTTCTGCCTGATGAATTATCCATCCAGAGACCTCTCTTTAACCCCTCAGAAACAGAAATACCAAAATCCAACTAAGAAAGTTAAAGTCACATAGGTTTAGACTGTGTATGTTTAACAGATACATAGACTTGATATATAAATTGAACAGTGATTTTCTATGGCTGTGCTCTGAAGGCAGGCAAACAGCCATCATAGTTTTACCTCAAAATCTATGAAACAGTCTGTGAAGTGATAGCAAGGTGATGGAGCTGAGGTTYTCTGCATCAAAAACCTTCCTGTAAACCAAGCATATTCATTTAGTCCATGAACAGGTAACAATGTGGAAGAAGCCCACATTATTGAGGTTAATCTGACTTCAGCAAGAAAGCACATATTCTCTGCCTTCTCTGGGTCCTTCTCTTTGGCAAGTTGTGTTTTCTCTRCCATTTTATGCAAGTTACAGTGCGTTTTGTCCCTCTCTGCCATTGCTACACAGTTTGGTGACAATGGTGAGAGATGGTGGTGCTTTTTTTGCGGATTAAGGCAGAGCCCACAGTGCTTTAAAATCTGCTTTTAAAATGTTCAGTAAGAAAAGTCTGTGTCCAAAAAGGGTCTSCTATAAGAAAACAAATGAGAGATGAAGAGAAGTAGCATAAGAAGGGTGGGTGAGAAAAGGAGCAAGCAAGTCATTTCAGAAGGTGGATGAAGGGTGAAATTGTCAGTCAGTAAATGCTAAAAAACRTAACTGTCCTTACATTTGCTGACTATCAATTTTGAAAGGCAAATGGGTAGAAGCAGATTTCAAGGAGGATTTTGAGGAAGTGAGCAAAAGAGCACTAATGACTATCYCAGGGCAGGTATTCTACAAATTAAGTAAAATATGTGGAAAGCATGAAATCCAGAGTGGGTAAAGGGGAACTAAAAGTCTGGAGTGGGAAGAAGTAGCAGGTTTTCTGTCTTCTTTTGGCTRCCTGCATAAAACCAAGCTAAACCCAGGTATGGATCCATCTCTAGGAGCAAGAGGAGATGCCAAGTCTGTGAGAAGAAATGATGGTCTTGTGGTAGATGAAGTATTGAGCATATAGCTTTGTTTTAAAGGCTTCCCTGCAACTCAGGTTATCTGACATATTTTAAAAAAAGGCTTTCAATGCCTAGTTTTCCTGATGAGAAATTTGAGAACTGAAAGTCTGGAATTAGTGCAATGCATTTACAGTAGGGTTCATGCTTTTAAGGGAATTTCTGAGACCGAACTTATTCTAGTTCACATATCTGGCCATGAATAAATGCTGCAAAGTTTCATAAAGTAATATGAAAATGGGGGTAATGGAATTTCAACTAAAAATGCTCTCCGAGCCAAATAAAACTAAAAAGTATGCTCTGTTTCTTCTGTGAGGGACTGCAAGCAAATGTCTCTCATTACAGTGGAATCGGTGAATTCTCAGCAGCCTTGAATACTAAAATAAGCACATTTTGTAAAGGCCTGACAGKGAGGGAATGGAAAAATTATGAATTATTACTTCAAGCTGGTGTGAAACATTCCAGGCTATGGAACAAACTAGAGTTACTCTGCATRGTTTAAATCAGCACTACAGAATGAGGCCAAGGAAGCAGAGAGATTGAATGAATTGAAAAACTGGAACTTACCAGCAGAACTTCTGTGATCATCAGATTTCTTAAAATGCCTAAATACAATTTAAAGCTCAATTATTCGGCTCTGGGCTTTGCTACCTTGTTTTGTGAACTTGAGGAACACTCTTAARCCACTATTTTGATATTTAAAACCATGGCAAAATGTTCCCTGTTCCATGAGACTGAAAGGGTGCTGGAGGAACAATAGAGGACTTGCTGTCTACARGGAAAGCTGGTGAGGCTGCTAGCAGAGAAGTAAGAGTCTATCAGAAACTGGCTTTAGATCTCAACTTACCAGTTGGTATAATCCCCTTTTGGCATTGATGTGAGGTTTAATTAGTTCAAGCAGTATTTTAAGCTGTTGGTAGGCGATGTTGTGTGTGTGATRTGGTATTTTTTTACAGCCTGGCTAAGATAGTTATATGAGATCACTGAAAGCGAGTTGAAATCAGACTTTTCAATCTGAGAGAGGAGTTTAACTCTGAGAAGGCAAAAGCAAAAAATGAGCAATGCAAAAATGCARTGATGTATTGCTTTTGTTGGCTGTGTTGCTACACCGTGAAATTGTTTTTGTTGTTTGCATTTTTCCCAGTTCTTAGGGGGAAAAAAATCTGTTGAAGTCTGTATTCTGTGAAAAATGACTCCCCAGAGCAGCTGTGAGGTCAGTGGAGTCTGTGTCTCACCTGTCCTCTTCCTGGCTGCCCCATGGCCTGCCTTTGTGAGTGTGCCTGGGAGAGAGTGGAAACAGGCCAGGTGTGCCCAGATGTGCAGTTGGAAGGGCGTGCTCCTGAGGCCATGTTTGTGTGGAGGGAGGTGAGCCTGGTGCTGAGGGTGACCAAGGAGCTGCCCTTAACRTGTAGCACAGACAGAATTGCTCACTCCTTCTTTCCTAACAATGCACTGCTAACTATATTYAAAATGTTTTTCAGACACTGTGCTGGATGGCTTCCCTAACAACCTGACACCGCTGCAGAAATATCTTTGTCTGATAGATGTTGGCTATTTCATCAATACCAGTGGTGCAGCACTYTTCAAGCCAGAGAGGAATGTAGATGTCATTATATCCCTTGATTATGGTTTGGGGAGCGTGTTCAAGGTGAGAAGATTAACTTCATCTGCTCCTTGCTGAGTAGAACTTCTTGTCTCACTTTTAAGTATGTGGCTGTCTAAATTTTAATCATATATCACCATATCTTGGAGGAGGAAAGAAACTTCCTTCAAGAACAGAACTGTAGAAACTGTTAGGCTCTTTTCTCTGTAGGGATTACAGCATTACTTCCTAGAATCCTCAGGGAATTGCGGTAACAATTGTTTGCTGAAGACATGCCTGTGATCTCTCTTGGCTTGTCAGGATGAATTCTGAGTGTGACTTTGGGTCATTCACTTGGGCTTGTAAAAAACGTTATAGGGTGATAAACAGGCATTGCCTGACTTGTGTTGAGKGCTGGCCAAAAGTAAGGTTGTACTGAGGCTACTTTGGACTACATGTTCAGTGCTTCTAGGGAATGAATTAAGATAATATTTCTAGGATACCTGAATAGACCTGTTTCTTGTCTTAGAGCTTTAACTCCATGACATTCTKTATCCACAGCAATTACAGATGACGTACAAATATTGCAAGATACAAAATATCCCATTCCCCAAAGTGGAGATAAGTCCAGAAGAAGAGAAGAACCCGAAGGAATGTTATATCTTTTCGGATGCAGAGGACCCCAGAGCACCCATAGTAATCCATTTCCCCCTGGTGAATGACACTTTTAAGGAATTYAAGGAGCCAGGTAAATGTCCACTGGGCCATCCAGCCCTGCACCCCTGCATTCTCCAGGCAGGCTGCCTGTGGTGCTGCTGGGGGAACCTCCTGCCCATGCCCCAAGGGACAGCAGGGTTGGACACAGACCTGGGCAGGGGGAGCACATGTGGCTGGGGTGGGATAGGCTCCATGTGGTGCTTGGGGCAGAGCAGAGAGATGTGGGGCCAGCCTGGGATGTGCASCTGTCTCTGCTCAAGCACCTGGGGTGTGCTCCTTCAAGTTTTACCCAAAATTCTRTTGTGGCTCTGAGTGGGACCACAGCAAAATGGAAGTCTCTGAGGGAGCATTTGGGAAGGGTAGGAATAGCAGCAGAAAGTAAAGGTACTTTTCTGCTCTGATGTTCCGTGATGCTCAGTAATTATGTACAGTAAGAGCTAAATCAAGAAAATCACATTTAGAAACTCTGTGGATGAAAAGAGGAGCTGTTCTGGAGAGAGAACTGTGGTTGTTCAGTGGAAGCTGGAAATGGTCCAAATGGCAATGTGTGGTGAGATCCAACCATTGAGYAGTGGGTGGCAGGTAAAGCAGGTGAGGATTTTGGAACTTATCTGAATGAAATATAGATGAGATGGTGCAGGGCAGAGCAGCTGCTGCCAGTTCTCAGTGCTCCAGGCCCAAACTGGTGAGCTTTGACACTCACCTGCATGTCTCTGAGCAGGCTGTGATTCATCCATCAAGCTGACAACCCCCAACTGATGTGGGTGGTTGGAGGAGGAGGGTCTTTGGCAATCTGCTTTCATGGATTTCAAGTTTAACAGTGGAGCTTTTTGTTTCTAGGTGGATGAGAGACATCTTGTGGAATGTGGGTGCTTCTTTTTCTTCTTTTTAACTATTGAAGTTCTGAAAATGCTCAGCTTGTGAAGTGCCCATTTGCAGTGCAGCAATTACAGACTGTGGACTTGAGGCAGATGCAGCTTTWTCTGGTTGTGGATAGCATAGATCATTCATCTCTCTGAATATTGTGAGGCTCAGTGAAACACTGGATATTTTTAGATCAGCCACTTCTAGTGGYAACCTGTGCCCAGCACCCAGTCCCTCTGTCACCTGCAACAGGCTGTGGTTAGCATCACAAGGCCCTTGTATGTTCCACGGTGTCCACTCACTCTAGCTGGCAGATGTGCACTTGTCACCACTAACCCAAGGGTGATCATGGATTCTGAAAATTGTTCCAGGTGTGTCTTTGAGAGCCAGACTTACAGGGTTTGGAAAGGATGTGGACCTATGGGCATGCTGCCCAGGAATGATTTCTGCAGGGGCAGGACAAGGAGGAGTGTAAGAATTTGTGCCARCTCTGCTGAGGGATTTCCAGGTCTCAGCTTTAGCAGGAGGGAAAGGAGGAGTAGCTGGGAAATTTGACCAGGAATGGCTCTTTCAAGCTGTGGATTTRCAGTATTTCCTGGGGGCTGATTTTAACAGTGGATTCTGCCAAGTGGGTCAGTCCCCTACACCACCTTGTGACAGTTCTCCAGATTCATCTCACTGTGGTGGCTCTTGTCTTTCTGTGCAGGGGTAAGGCGTGGTCACTCRGAGATGGAAGAAGGCAAAGTTAACCTGGAGAACAACTGCTCGCCATACTACCTCATCAGGCTAATCTACTCCTCTGAAAATTTTGATAAACTTGTGAATCTGAGCAAATACAACATCCTCAATAACAAAGACAGGCTCCTCCAGGCAATCAGCTGTGCTGTAGAACGAAGGAGACGCAGAAGGACTGGGAATTTCTCCAGCTACTCTGGATACCCCTAGGCTGGGTTTTTGCACTGYTCCCCACCGGAGGCTATAGCAGCACATTGCAACACATCACAGTCACATTACAACACATCACAGTGTTTATTATTTGCAGAAAGCTGARGAAACCTGTACATTTCTCACCTTGCCTTGTTCAAGCTCATAGCTTTCAAAAGGGTTTATTTAATCTCGTTCCCCTGTATTTTCAGCCCACAAGAGCCTCACAGTGTGGTCTTACTTGTTAAGAAATTAAGGTTCTGGTTAGCAGAGACCTCCCAGGATCTCCCTGATCTTATAGCATATGGTGGTGGTGGTAGTTCTTTGTATGAGCCTGTGCCTTCAACCCTGAGCCCATTGTCAGTGTCCTTTCAGTACTTCATTACACGTCAAGTCCTGGCCATTTGCATTCAGTGATGTCCAGATTTTCAGACAGGCTGAGCAACTAGAATTTGCACTGAATTGGTGGGCTCAGCTTTGAAGTCAGGCATGTGTATGTGAACAGCGGATAAACTGCAGTGTGGACAATTGCACTCTGTCTGGCCCATTCCCCTTGCTGATTTAGAAATTACTCCTTTTTTCCATTCCCCTGCAAGAGTTTGGCACAGAAATGCTGCTCCAGACTGCCATGAAGGGGGTGGTTACATTTCAAGAGAGCAGTTGGTAGCTGCAGTGAGTGAGTACTGTTCTTCTGAGCATTTTCTGGAGGAAAAGTTCTGCATAAAGCCCGAGTGATCATACTGATTTTTACCAGCAGTGCCTTTATGAATTAAAATTGCRAGGGCCTGAAACAAGTTTCATAGCAGAAGCTTGAGAGGAATAATTACCATAGACTCAAGTACATTTAATTTAGTAATCATGAGTGAGACACAAGGTGGTTCTCCTTACAGATGTAAGCTGAATGTAGGACAACATCATAACTCACTAACAGAGTGCATAGCCATTGTATTTTCATCCCCAGAACAAGCATAGCATAGCATTTTTCCCTTTATAGTCTTCCATCCCTAGCATCACAGGCAACATATTTTTAATAGGTGTTACATAAAATACAGCACAAATTAGAAAAAAATAGGACACACATTTTCCTCCTTGCTGGAGGAAAATATTAGGGAAATGACACCTGGTTTTCATTTGCTTCGGAGTGCAGTGAGAGATTTTGCCTTGAACTAGRAGCTTGGAACATCTGTATAGCCCTCCACTGTATTATAAAGCTAATAGGGAAGAATGCTGAGTACAGAAGTTGGAGAAGTTTGCAGACTTCCTCACACTGAAGGATTTGGACCTGCTTCTGGATTATTTATTCCATGAACAGCATATTCATCAGAACTACCAAGGAAAATTTCACATATTTCTTCTGTGTTGGAAATTTGCTTGAGATCTAGAATTAGTTGTACATGAAGTCAAAAATTAGACAAAGAAAGAGGGGTCTGTCTTCTTCATATACACAGGCAATATTGAAGCTCAAAGGGAGAGAATTTACAAAAGACTTGGTTGCCAAAGCCTGCATCTACTAAACGCTRCTTCTGCTGCAATGGCAATGGGTAAACCTCAGCAGTGTTTTTGATACAATGCTCACTTGCTGAGCTGAGGAATACCATGCAGAACCTGAGGAGTGTTAACAGCTGGAATACAATTGTGCAGCAGGATCCAGATGGTGAGAAGATAACAACTAATTCAATACTGGCTGTAAGACAAAACATAAAGAGCCATTTTGAGCTGAGAGTGATCCAGCTGGATGTGTTACCTTTGCACAGGAGAGCAGYGTGTCCTGGCACAGTATTTTGTGGCACTTACAAGCCCACATGGCTCTGTGCACACGTGCATAGGGGGTGCACCATTCCTGTGCTCCTCTGGCTGGTCCTAGAAAGCTCTGCTGCTGCAAAAAAAGACATCCCTGTTGTGTTCTTGGGCTACAGTGAACAATCTGTACCCCTTGTGAACCTTGGCAGCACATGCCCAGCAGCGAGGCAGCTCAGCCACACTGACACAATTGGGACTCTCAAAATGCTGTGCAGACCAATAACTGGGCATGTTTGGTGCATTCACAGTGCTGCTAATGCAAACAGAAATGCTGACTWAAATGTGAAGGAGCCACAAACCCACAAGGTTTTCAGGTAACCCACAGTCAGTGGGGAATATCTGAGGGACTGTTAAAGCTGTTATAAAGGGAGGGAAGGAGGATGGGAGGGAGGGAGCCTTGGGTGGGGAGGGTTCTCTGCTGGGAGAGCTGTCACCAAAGGTTTTACTAACACTTAGAGTCAGGTTGGGAACTGCAATCTAATCTTGCAGCCAGAGGCACAGACAGGCATGTGCCCTTTCATCTCCTTGTGGTCCATGTGGTACCTCTGTAGCTTTAAATGATAATAGCTTTTTCAAATGTATTTTTGCATTTCAGAGCCTGAAATGATGTGAGGGCTGTATCACTGCCCATCATAGTGCCTTTTTGTTTTATTTTGGTTGCCTTTTTGTTTTTGTAGCATGATGTGAGTGCAGCACATGGGGACACAGCTTAGTGCTGGGCTTGGCAGTGCTGAGTTAACAGCTGGACTCGATGGCTGTAGAGATCTTTTCCAACCTAAACGGTTCTAGGATTCTGTGCCATTGAGGGAATGTGTTGATGGCTTGTTGGTGTGGTAGGAGGAGCTGGAGGGCATTTGTGAASACAGAAGCTGCTGGAGGACTCTGCAGGTTGGAGGGACCTACAGCTTGCACAGTCTTGTCTGTGCAGCTTTTGGGAAGTTGTGGCTGGCACAGTCTGTCCCTCAAAGCACCCCTGAACTCTGGTTCAGAGCATGCTGATTAGCACTGCCCCAAACCCACAGAAATATAGGGCACAGTTTCAGTGACATTAGGCTGATCAGTGACCTGTGCTCAGGACTGGTCCTTGTGCCCTTTAGGGTAAATATGGAGTCTAAGGGCCTCTGAAATTTTGTGTGCTGGTTCCTCAAAGGTTGGGGGGTATTTTTTCCCTTGGCCCCTTTCTTGCCTAGTGCCCCATGCTGTACTGTGGCTGAGCAGAGTGCATGCAAAGCAAAGCAGGCACTTCCAGGAGAAAGCTGCCTCTCTGCATCTCACCAGAAAAAAGCACATGCCGTACTTATAAACCAGGCCTTGCTGGTCTGGGGTTGTGTTTGGTTAACCACTGGAGAAGAATGCATGCCCACCAAAAACCTCATCTGAAATGCACCCCACATCACTGCTCTCTGATGAACATTTTGCTGGAAAATCCTTGAAAATATAGAGCTTGCTATCTGCTGCCAAACACAAAGGAAATGAAACTGTTCATCTAACTATTAGTTGCTCTTCATAGAAATCACTTGCTTGTGCCTTTTAACCATTTAATAATATATTAGTTCAAAATAAAATATTGCAAAAGAGCACCAGACCTGTGAAAGTCTTTATGTGCTTAAATACAAGGCAAAGTTTTTTCCAGTTGTATAATCACTACAAATGCTGAACACCTGCTGAGAACTTCACAGGGCATTTCTTGGTTTCAAGATTGAATGGAAGAAATCTGGGAGAAGATCTTCTGGTTTACAAAGGTATGGAGAACCTGGAACAAAACCTACCTCTTGTGGTAAAACCCTCCCTGCTCAAGGCAGGGCAGGGAGGCAGCTGTACTGAGCCACAGCCAAGGCACTGCATTGTTTTGCCTCTTGGTAGTTTGATTTAAATATGCACAGAAGACTGCCTGTCACTGATCTTTACTGTTATCAATTAAATTGTAAGTTTCAAATACTGAAACTGTTTTGGTTTTTGTTTGTTTTTTCTTTGTTCTGTTTTGTTTTCTTTTGTTTTTTGTTTTTGTTTTTGTTTTTTTTTTTTTTTTTTTTTTTTTTTTTTTATAATTTTATTTTTTTTTTTTTTTTTTTTTCCATTTTTTTGTTTTTTTTTTTTTTTTTTTTTTTTTTTTAATTAATGACCGGCAGCAGCTCCAGCTGAGGTACAACAGGTGAGAGAGATGAACCAGCCAAAAAACCAAGATTATTAGCTCACCTTGTTGGATGCTTGTGACTGATCTGAATCAGACTGAACACTAAATATTGCATGTACCCATAAAGTGTTTATGTAAACTTGGTGTAAAGTGCTCCCCTTCCCTCCCAATGGAAAATTGGTCAGTGCAGAGGAGAAGATTGCAAGCAGAGAGCAAGAGTTGTGCTTCAGACTGGCTGGGAAGGGATCAAGGCTGAATTCCTTGTCAGAGGAGTTAAGGACTCACAGCTTTAGCTTCCACCTGTCAGGGAAGAGCCTCCAGCCATTACACTGTACTTGGGGGTAGAAAATGCCATTTCTCTCCAGCCTCATGCTAAGTAACTTTTCTCTGGCTCAGAAACAGAGGTAAGTAGGGGGGAAAATACRTATTCCTCCCCATCAAACCTTAGCACATGGAGCTTGCTGTCTGGGGACTAGACCTCCTYCTTGCTATCCTACTTCTCCTCTCCTTTTACACTGAAACACTGATTGTTCATGCCTTATTTTAGTTTCAGATTCCATTAAAAATGAGTCACACTGCAGGACCTTTTTTTCCAGGTAGCTTCAACCAGAAAGAATTGGTAAATAGAGAATTGTTGGTTAATGTGTTGTATAAAGAATGTGGAGACCACAAAGTGCTGTAGGAAGTATATAACAAAGATTACYTTTGGATGCACAGACCACCCAAGCCTCTGCAAATCTTCTTGCAGGTGGCTGTAGCTCACTCACAGCTTGCACCTCATGCTCTTCTCAGTGCTCCCCATTCCTGAATCACAGAAACATTTCATTTTGAGCTGTCTGTCTTAAAGCCCCCTCCCCTGCCCTTTTGTTTGTACCTTGGAGTAGATGACACTTGGTGATAATAGCAAATGACAAAGTTGTCATACACACAAATGTATATCAGATGCAATCCTGTTTAATTAAAGATTTTATGAGATTTAATACATAATTTAAAAAGTTCAGAGGGAAGCAATTAACTTAAAACATATCAATACATTTCCAGAGGGCTGAGTTAAGCTATTAATTGTCATTAAGGCAAATGTCATTTTTGTCTTCTCACTCTTAATAGAGATGGAAGAAGTTTTGCTTTATTTCCACTTTTTTCTCGGCTTAGGGTGGTGACAGAGGCTTGTGYCACTGAAGGCCCATCTTCCTCAAAATCTCTGGAAAATTCTGCAGACTCTCTCTCTGGTTTGATTTTGAAGGAAGGTGTTCTCCTATCAACAAAAAGCATCATCAGAAAATAAGGTACAGTCTAGAGSAGTTTAAGTCACTCTGTATGTGTAAGGACTTGCTAAGCATCTAGTTTAGCTGCAAAAGTCTGCCCAGCTATGGCAGTTGGATTTCACATCACAGCCTGTAAGATTTGTACAGACTCCAAATGCAACAGAACTGATTCAAACAGGCCAGATYTCTGAATTTGGCTGTGGCTGTATTTTCCATGCCTCCTGTGTCTCTCATGAGCCTCCTTTTCTCCAGTCTAAACAACACCAGCTCCCTCAGCCTCTCCTGGTAGGGCTTGTTCTCCAAACCCTTCTCCAGCTTTGTTGCTCTTCTCTGGACATGCTCCAGCTTTCTTGAAGTGAATGGCTCAGAACTGAACACAACCCTCAAGGTGTTCCYTCCCCRGTGCCAAGTACAGGGGRACAATCACTGCCTTGGTCCTGCTGGTCACAGTATTTTTATGAAATTAGTGACAGAGGAACAGGACTTTTTGACCTCAGGGCAGTTTCTCTGTAGGTGACTGCTAGGTGAGCACAGACAGTGCTGACCTCTGTTCAGCRTTGTGGCACAGAGCCCATACCTCAGGAGTGAGCCTTTGCTGGTTATTCTTTCAGCAGAATCCCTGTCTGGGAAATCCCACACTCTTTTCTGGGAGGTCTCTGTGTTTGAAATGAAAGTTTGCACCATCACTGTAGMATGTGATCTGTTACCGTGTCCTACAGAGTGAAAAAAACCAACAAATAAAAAGTAACATTAGAGGCAGAGTTTGCCGCTTTTGGTCCATAAAAATTTTCTCTGATGATCATAGTTACAATTATGCTCTGGCTTCCTTCCCAGTAAGCCACTGCCTGGACAAATGTTCAGAAGAAGAGCTGTTGATCAAGATCCAAAGCAGCTCCTTAATAAAAGGATGAACAMAACCCCAAGCCTCTACCAGGGAATAAACCTATGCTGGCCACAGTACGAGTGAAGGAAGGCTGCTGTGCAAGTCACCCTGGACATTGTCCTGCCAGGTCACTGCATCTCAAGGTAGCAGGTGACTTGTGTGCTACTGTCTAACACARGCAAAAAGGACGGCTCAGAAGGCCCCAAACTAAGGACACCTCATTCTCTTCTCTTCCTTTCACCATCCCTTGCTAAAATCACAGTTCACTCTTGAAGGAAGCGAGAATGTACCTATATTATTCTGTAGAGATTGCAGCCAGTCCTCCATCAGTGTCTGAGAAGGTGCTGCAAAGAAATACTCCGCCCCATCTCTCAGCCTGCAAATAAGGACAGGAAAAGGTGAATTCTAATCAGTTTTGCCTTACACCTTCTGTATTTGTGAGTGTGAGACGCTCCAGTTTTGCCTCCTAACAATGTACAGCTTTAGGCTGGGAGCTGTGCAGGCTTTTATTTGTGCACTTCTCCATAAGACTCACCGCAGCATGAAGGCATTCTCTTTCCTGCTGTAATTCATCAGCCTCTCACACTTGGCACCAGGAATGCTGAGGGACAGGAGTGGGGATATATTCTGGAGGGGGATAAAATTAAAACAAAATGTCTTCTGCATCCTTTCTGCTAGGATTCAGTTCCACACCAACCTGCAGGCAGATTACACACCCATCTCTTTAACTTTATAACTAGGATCACTGAATAAGACAAACCACGGAGAAACCATGGGATGATTGCATTATATCTTGAAGGAAATTTTGAATAAGATACTTCTTTTAAGGAATATATTTGAAAATTTCTGAAAGCTTATTATTCTGTGTTTTAGTTGTATTGGTTGAATAATTGCTGAATTTTCACTCAGTTGACATTTGAAAGAGAACAGACTACCCCAGCCCCAAATCAACGCAAAGGTGACTTTTAAAAATAAATTTTTACATAGGTAAAATAAAAATAAATTTTTACATAGACACAGAGTTGGCTAGAAAGATAAAAAAACCAAATTACCTCAGATGCTTCTTTTTCATCATTATAGAAATCAAGCTTTAATCCATCAAGTTTTACATAGAAGGATTTCCAAGACCTTGAGCCTGGCTACATAAATAGAAACAGTAATAAAATTCAGTTATGAAGTATATCTTTTATAGTAGTGAAATCTTTCATATGCAACTTCCACAGGAAGCCAGGACCTGTCAATATTAYGATCACAGAAGTTCTCACAGTCATTATTATCTCTCAGAAAAACAGAACCTACTATAGTTTCTGTGTGGGTCATTCAAGGAGGGCTCTCTGTGAGTCAGGACTGAACAAATGACATCAASTGGTTCATGCAAGCTCTACATCATTGGTCAGCAACATCTCTGAAGGCGAATAATCAAAGTTCTGTCTATTTTTTGGCCACTAATGTAGGCAGACCCCATTCTCCATGATTCCCATGACAGGCAAAAGTTCCAATGTCTCTTACTCTCGAGGATCAGGTACTGCCAAAATCAGTGGATACTTCCTCATGCATTTTAGTGGTAGCTGAAGCAAACCCACAGTAYTGAGCTCCTCTTCAGCAAGAGCTTGTCCTGAAGAAGTCAGACCAGATCTGGGCAATAACTCAAGGGAAAATGAAATAACCCAGAGTGATATTATTTGTTTCTACCTGTTGTCTTCCTGGAAGGAGCTGGTCTCGCTTCTCTAGGGAACCCTCCATCTGCTGGAGACTTGCAGAAACCTGAGACATGCAAGAACATTGCTACTTAACTGTAAAATGACCCTTAGACATATGCTAAATTTCTGAAAGTCTTTTTTTTTAGATAAATTCCATGCAAAGAAACTGGTCTCTGGTTCCTCTGGTGTTTACATTGACAGCACAGCTGGAAATCCTCCCTAGGTTGTAATCATATCTTTGATAGACCACCTAAGCAAAGAGAATTTCATATGCTTCTTGAATGATTTGCTTATGGAATTTGCTCTATCATAGTGTGTTAATTAACTAATATTATTTTTATATMATTAAATAAATTTTACAACTTAAATTGTTCAAATTATTCATACCACCTCCCCAGTTACTGAGTTACACCAATGTRTAGTGTTGTACCGGTCCACTTGAGTATGTGACAAATTTCTCTCAGAGAACAGGAGCAAAAGGAAATAATTTTATCTGTCCACGAGTTAACAGTGAATTTCCTGCCAGGCTGAGCAAACAGGAGTTGTTTGCTCTAGTCTTGCACTGGGTCAGCTCTTTGGCAAGCGTGCCACTAACTCCTGCTTCTCTCTGACTTCCAAAGAGTGGATGTTTTTGCACAGGATAGTGGTTTGTGAGGAGAGAGCCAGGAATTCCTGGGGCTTACCAAGGATGTATTCTTTAATCTCTCCCCAGAGGAGGTAGACAGCAGTAAATTTGTTGAGTTATCCRGTGACCTTTGTCCAGGCTCGGGTGGTGCTGCCATTACTTTGGTCTGYGGGTTGGAAAGAGAGGAGCCTACAGCACCTTTTTCCTGAGGAGATAAGTGGTCTGTGGCTTGTGATTCTGACAAACTGCTCCTGTGTTGCTGGCTTCTAGGAGCAGGAGATAAAGGAGAGCCTAAAGAGCTGTGACTTTCTGCAGACACAGCTTGTGGGCCCACCATCTCTGGTGTAGCTGGAGTGACAGTCTCACYGAGCCTCGTCTCAGCTTTCATTTCTGTTTTGGTGCTGCTCAGCTCTTCAGGAACTTCCTCAGAATTGAATTGTTGGAAACTTTTTGGAGATTTTTCAACGGGGGAGAAAATAGTTTCAAGTGGGACCCTCCAGGACACGCTGGGTCCGGGCACAGGTGGCAGTGGCGTTGTGCTCCTTATCTCTGTCACTTTGGGTGGCGCATTCCTTTTGTCAGAGGCTTTTCTTCTCAGAGAAGGAACCCGTACAACTTTGCCTTTATCCTTCTGCTCGCTCTCTTCTGTGTCCACTTGTTTCAGAACATTCATCTCTCTCTGTAGGACAGCAGTGTTACATTTTTTTAAAATCACCTTCATTCATTCATGAATACTTACATAAGATTTTATTATTTTAGGAAGGAATAGTTTTTCAAATACATTGTTTCCTGGCACTGAATCTTAAGGCTTGTATTTCTGTTGGCAGAAATGTCTGTATTTCTTAGAGTTAGATCTGAATCTTATTGCTATATGCTGAGCATTATTTTGTTGCCCAAACCATGAATGGCAATTAACCTCAAACACGGTGAATCCTGCCCTTGCTAAGTTCTCTGGAGGCTGATTTTTTTTTAACTAACTCAAGAGAAACCATGCTCCTTTTTTTGTGGCACTGCTTCTGTAATTTTTGTGTAAGAATATTGAGTATCCAGGATTCTYGTCGAGAAAAGTTTTAGAGAGAAGGACCTTTGTCCCTTCACTTAGCCAATTTGCAAATAACTGATCAAAAGACAGATTCATTTTCAACCTAAAGTAAAATACAACTGTTATGTTTTGCTGGTTATTTCAGGAAAATAATTTTAAAAACCCTCTCCCCCACACTGAAACAGAATCTGAGAGGCTCACTAAGTATTTTTGGTATTTACCACAATCCATTGTAAAAATCTGATGCCAGTGGGATAAAGGCCTGTCTCTGCCTTGGTCTCCCTTTATTTTCAGCCCTTTGCTATCCTCTATCACTTTCAAGTGACTCCAGTTCCCTTCTTAAATCCTGAATGAAGCAAAATCTCTCCAACTGTGTAGCAAGAGCCTGTTTCTCAGACTCTCGTCCTGGCAAAAGAAAACTTCTACCTCTCCCCTACAGCTTTTTCTAGATATTTAGTCTCTTTTGRTCACATGTAGGTCTTGTTCTCAGCTGCTCTGTCTCAGCTGAGAAATACCTCAGCTTTGGTTACTCATTTAGCCCATCTCAGGACAGGAGTTCATTGTTATGTGGAGTGATATCCACGATCACGGACCCACATCTTCCTGTCTCATGCACAGCTCATCAGCCTCCTACTACTCACCTTAGTTTTCCTGCTGAGCTGAGCAAATTTCTCCTCCTGTGCTGCAAGCATCTTCTCAAAATCATGGTGTTTCTTCAGTAATTCCTCTACCTCAGACACTGAATCCTGAATGGAAAAATTACCACATACAGAAGTCTAAAATCAAGCCTGTCAGAAGAGATKATACCTAAGATTTTCAGGTTTAGCCAAGTGAGGATTCTGAAAATTTTGTAACTGAATGTCTAAACCTCTGCTAGTGTATGAAGAATCTGAATTTACATTTAAAAAAGCAGTCTGTATCTTGCAGTCTGTCCAYTGTGCGGGATAAAAAGAGGTCAAATACCAACCTTCCCTTTTCTGGGGTGTGTAGTACCACGGTTTCCTGCTATAACTGTTTATGTGCAGGTTAAGTACTTGGATTCTAGCTTGTGCTAGACACAGTTTTTCTTACCCTACAACAAATGTGTCTGACACTTTTGTCATGTCCTCTACTTACTTTCTGATACCTGAGTGTAGGACTTTGTTTTCCCATCTTGTAAACTATCAGAAGACAGTCAACAATGAGAAATAAAAAACAAGAAAAATATGGTTGCTGGTGTTTAAAAAAAGAATTTACATGCTAGGTATCAAGTCAAACATTCTACCATTTAACGAGAAGAATGAAGTGGGAAAAGCCCCCTTTTTTCCCTACAAGGTGGGGAAACACCCTTTCTCCTTTTGAAACAGGCACTCAGCAAGACAGGGAAGGTTGAACCCTCTGCAAGTCATGTGAAAAATGGTCTGGAATTCTCCCAAATCTTCTACCACCCMCTGGAAGCCACCACTCCCAGGAGCCCATCACTGTGTCAAATGCAGCAACAGCCCTGGGCTCACTGCTGTAAGAGGACAGAGTTCCTGCCCTTTCTAATCTCAGGGGCGCATTGCTGTTGAGATTGTGATTGATTTCAGGCCTGACTGGTCCGTGAGCCGACCTCTCTGCACATGCTGAGAGCACACAGCGTTTATAGTGCTGCGTTATACTCACCCCATAGGAGGGATCTGAAAGGAAGCTCTCCTTGGCAGCCAGCCACGCTTCTGCTTGTTCCAGCTCTCTGCGGAGCAACTGGATCTCCCAGTTTTCTTCATATAACACTTTCCTCATGTCCCAGCTCTCCTTTACCTTCTTCATCAGCTCTGACAGCTCTAACAGTTTTTCTTCAATCTAGAAAAAGGACATTTGTAATGCCACGAGTTGAAAAAATCCAATCAGACTTTCACATGACAGTCCACTAGCATGAAGTCTGCCTTCGTGATTTAGAAGATGACCTCTGGATAACTTTGTGGTGTCATCATGATTTAGAAAAGATGTCTGAGTCCTCATTTTTTCCTACTTGAATTAATTTAGTATGTAAATTGTGTGGCTAGATAATACAATTCTAGGCACACTCCACATACTSTATGACCAATACTCTGCCATATCATTTCCCAAGATGAAACTTTATACCCAGGCAACTTGAATTATAAAACTAGTGGGAAACAGAAGGTGTACAAATACTTCCATTATGGCAAGGCAACAACGGAGACACTTCAAGTGTGGAAAGTTTTCTCGTTCTTTCTATAACAGAAGTAATGCAGTTTTGCATAAATTCTGAACATGTTTTTGATGCTGTGATCTCTGGATCTACAGACAGTGTCTTGGGCAAAGATTGAAGGTAAATGGATAACAGAATCACAGATATCTTAACATTCTTGCCCCTTTGGACTTTTCTGAAGAATTACATATCTTCTGGTGAACTCAGGGACATCAGCAATGCAAGGCAATTGCATTGTGACGTAGCACAACAACTTTAAAATGTGTTTTCTTTTCCTACATGTCATATGAAATACGTAGCTTTTAATAGTAGAGAACCTGATTATCCTGTTTGGTTCTTCTGTTCTGAGAGACAAAGCTGCCCCTCCCGTCTGTTTCATGTCTTTGTTTGCTCTTGTTTGTAAAATATTCAACTCCTCAACACACCTCTGCAGACATGAAATGYCCATTCTGCACCAGGTCACCTCCTGCCCGCTGCATTTCTTCGTATTTCAGCCACTGCTTCTCTATCTCACGCTTGTATTCCTCATGGCGCTTGATGAGCAGCTCCGCCCCCAGGACRTCGTTTGCCAGTTCCTCAGATATCACCAGTGCATGCATCTCATTGGCCCAGGCCCTGCACAACAAAGGGTGAAAAGGAGAGGAATCTGAGTCTGTTGGACATCTGGGAATGCACACATCCCGTGGCTGTGGGTACATGTTTCCTCACAGAAGATATTAATGCTGTCCTGATTTTGCCTGGGATGGAGTTAATTCTCTTCTTAGTAAATGGTACAGGATCTATCCCTTAGCAAGTAAATGTTCAACAGTCAGTGGTAACCACTTCACTGTCTTTGTATTGCTACTCCTGTCATGGGTGAACTTTTTCATTACCTGTTCTAGGAGATCATCCTTAATGCCATTGCTTTGACTGACAAAAAGGGGCCCTGGTGTCTATACAGGTGTACAAATTACTTCACTATCTAAGCCTACCTTCCTATAGAATCAACAGTATTTTCAAAGGGAATTGTGAAACTACCGAATTAATCCACTGTGACTGAATTCTCTAAGACTGTTTAGGAAATAGTCTGAAAAAGAGGCTTTTGTCATGTGCTGAGGTGTCATGATCATCTATGATATCTGGTGAATTCWGTGAAATGCTGTTTAGTAGGTGCCATGGATTATTATTCAAAGAGATTTGAAAGCAAGCTGCAGAGCACCTGGGGCAGGGATCAAAAAACTAAAAGGTGTAATTTAGAAAATCCTCTATGGGAAAGACAAGAAATAGGGCCCACTGCCAAACTCAAGGGACCAACACCTACATCAGCTCCCTGCAGTCATTGAAGTAGAGCTGGACTTGTTCTGCCTGGCTCAGTCTTGCCTTCCTCTCCAGAAACTTTTTGTCCAAGTTTTCCCAGCACTCATCCACATCTGTGAGTCTGTCCATGATGTTTTCCTTAACTTGAGGGTACGTGCGGCTGAGGTGCCAAGCCTCTCCTCGAATCCGTTCCAGCTCTTTCATGATGACTCCTAGATCTCTCTGGAGCAGAGACAGAATGGATTGTAAGACCAAGTCATTACTTAGTTCTATCAAAAGTGGATTAAACCATGATGCATGTATTTTCCACCCTCTGGCTGTACAGAGGCTGGAAATATGAATGCCTCTCAGTTTTTCCTTAATGCCCTTTTAACATCCATCATCAAACATAAAAGAAGCGTCTTTAGATGTGATGCACAGATTATTTTGGTAAGAGTGGAGCTGAAGCTTCCTGTCGTTCACATGGCACCTTTGCAATTATAATAACAGCTTGGAATAGATTTCAGAAGAAAAAGTCTTTCATCCTTAGAATCAAAAGCATTAATAATATAATATCCCAATGTTAAGAACAGGACGAAAATGTCCTCTTCTCTGAGGCACAAAGAATATTTAAGGGTGCAATAAATTTGTCATGCAAGCAAGGCCCTTGAGAGGCATCAGTCAAGCATCATTCTCCTCTTTTTTTCCATCTATGCTTTTCTGTACTGCTTCATCACAGATCCTCTCACCTCCACTCCCTCAAGATGGCTGAGAAGTGTCTGTACACCTGGAAGGTCATAGCCATAATCTTCTATATCCACCACTGCCTCTTTCTCCTGCATCCAGCCCTTTACTTCATCCACATCATGGTCATACTGGTGAACTTGACGGGCTGCACTCAGGTTCTGGAAGAAAGAAGTAATTTAATGGAAATACTCRATAGCATTTTGTGTCTACAACACAAAAAAGGGTAACCCTAATTTGTYATAATGCAGTACAAAATGACCAAGAGGGGTAATGAAACACCCTCTCCATTAAGTCACCTGAAAGTGAGGTGTTAAGCTAACCTAATTTCCCCAAGATCTCTTGGACAATGGAAAAAAAAACAGATGTCTCCAAAGAGCAATTTATCCCCATGTAATGGAGGGATATTATTATCCATCAAAATGGAGAGCATGAATTGCTCTCTAAAGGTAGCTCCCTACACCACAGAAAGTGTCCTAAAATACTCGCTTGGAATAAAGGTCTGTATGGCAGACAGTGAAAATAGAAGAAATTGAGCAAAAATAATGTTTTTCTGAAATGAGAGGATTAAAAAAAAATGTTCTAATACTAGTTTATAGTCGAACTATATATTGACAATTGTGCATTTATTTCTGCTAACAGACATTAATGGACTTGAACTACTTCATAAGCAACATGGGTACGCAACAGTAGTGAAAAAAGGGTTGAGGATATCTGATGTTTTTTCTCTTTAAAGCAAACAAAAACGTTGAGTTCTGTGTGTCACCTCTGCTTTTCCAGACACATCTGTGACTGCAGTTTCCTGAGAGGGAGTGAGAGGGAATGAGCTGATTTAACACCTGACTTCTGCCTAAAGGTGGGGAGTGGCTCTTTGTCCTCTATCCCATTCTCTCCCATATGCCTTCCTTGATTTCAAGTAGCCAACTCAGCAAAAAAAAAAAAAAAACCAAAACAGGAGACTTTTGATCTTGTTTAGCAAACTATTCAATAAATATTTCCATGAAGAGACTGATTAGTGTCAGAGCCAGACTTCTGTTGCTGGTGCTAAACTGTCAGGTTAGCTTTGTTTTTCAGGAAACCAGAGTTAGCCATGAATTAAGGAAAACAATTGCTCAGAGCTGATAAATATCTTTCAAGCATAAGCCTTGCCAGAAAGAATAGGATAAGCAGTGGCTATAAAAGGAAAATAATCTAGAAAAAAATGAACAAAATGTACTCATTGCCTCTGTAAACCTTAAACATGAGCAATGCACTGGTTTGGAAAAGAAAGAAGGACATGGGAGATGGCACGGGAATCAATGCTGCAGTTTTTCATGTGTTTCCCACCTCTGTCCTTGTCTGAATGGCATGGCATAATTTCTCCCACGTTTCATTGATTTGCTTAGTTCTCTTCTGGATAATGTCCATCTTGCTGTGGCCTTCCTTATCCAGTTTAGATGCTAACTCATTGAAGGAGATGACTTTGGAATGTCCCAGAGGTTTTGTCTCATTTACAAAATCTTGAAACTTTTTCTCCAGCACCTGCAGAATAAATGGGAACACAAACTTAGATATAAGAGTTTCTGCCTCCCTCTAGAGAGACAGAAGGAGACCTCTAGAGAGAGACAGAAAGAATCACTTTCTCTGCTGTGTATAACAAAAAAGCTTTTATTTTCTGTTACCTCAACATCATCTAATTCCTGCCCATAGTCGTCGGACTCTGCCACAGACAGTTTACTGGAAAGCCATGCATCCACCAGCTGGAATTCTCTTTCAAACTGATAGAACTGGAATTGTTCTAGCAGGCGTTTTCTCTGGGTGTCAGACTTCTGTAGGAGAGACTGATAGTCTGCTAGGATCCCCTGGAGCTTTGAAAGTATGACTGAACTGCAAAGAATAAGAAACAGAAAGTATGTCTTTGTTTAACTGTTCTTTTTGAACACTGTGTTTTCTGACATGTTGAATTTTCAATACCTTTAAAATACAGAGCAATCCAGATATCATCATGGAGTGAGTTATGCTGTGCCATTGAAGCCAGCTAGCGCAGGAAATTGAAGCATATCATACAAATGACTGCTCTTTCCACTTCCTCCTCCCCAGATATAAAAACAAACTTCCAATGAAAAACAGTGAACTGTCAGGAATGTTCATTTCCTTTCCCAAGCACTGTGGTTTTTGAGCATTTGTGGTAAATTAGAACTAGATGAGCGTTCTTGGGARTAGACAATGGACAAAGAAGCTGACCTGCATTAATTGGCCTGTTGCTAAAAAAAACCAACCCTCTCATAAAAATATTAAAACAATAATCAGGCTTTTGGGGAGCTCAGTGTGTGTGATGATCATGAAGGAGGGATGGACTTTACCTGAAGTCTTATTTCTGAAAGAGCCATCAGACATGGGTGAACTATTTACATTCTCTGGACATTTCTGTTAGACCTGGAGGAGAAACCTGTTTTTATTTTCCTACCTCTCTGGACTGCCTTTGTTTATTAAGCTGGCACCTGTCTCCTGTACTTTCTCRATCCGGGACCCGAAACTGTCCATGTCCAGTTTGGTTGCTTCAAGTTTACGAAGTAAAACTTGTGTGGATTCTTCATTCTTCCCATAATCAGAGGTCTCCAGAATGAAACTCCTYTCTGCCAGCCATGCCTCCACCTCCAGCAGCTGTATAAAATACAGGGATGAGCCTTAACACAGCTTCATTTAGGTCAAGGTAAAGTAAATGGAAAGCAGTGGTGCACTGATACATCAGTGAAAACAGAGAACAYCTTAGGTGTGTTCCTGCTATGCAATCTAACAGACAGTTCCAAAAAAATGGACCCAGAATCCAGTAATTGCAGTTACACATAAATCACTGTGATTAGTTGGGAAGATAATTGTTATTTCTCCATTTTAACAGACATGAAAATTCAGGGCAGTGAGAATTCTGCTCCTTTCTCAACACTTACATCCATTAAGCAGTATAGGGGTCAGTTGTTTTAAGAAAAGAAAGGCCAAAATAAATCTTTCAGAAACCATCTTTACCTCATTTAGGAACAGATGGGCCTCATAGGACTGCACAAGCCTGTGTCTCCTTTCTTGAGCCTCTGCCTTCAAGGTCTCTACRGAAGTCTCAAGCTCCTTCAGATGCTCCATAATCTTGCGAGAGGCTGGGTGGCCTCCCCTCACCAATTTCTGTCCCGTACTGAGCACTGCTTTGGTCAAAGCATCCCGACTGTTTATCTCATTCTCCAGATTCTGGAAAGAGTAAAGAGAAAAATGATAGACCAGAAATTAAAGTTATGGAATTTTTATTCCAGAAAATGTAGGCCTGTAATTCCATTATAAATTTGCTTTCTGTTCACGAAAGTGGGTCGGAGGTAYGAAGTCTGAATGCATGCTTGAAGTGGAGTGGAGGAGTTTTTTGGGGTGAAGGAGTGATCACAGAAATCAGATTTAGTCATGAAGTTTGAATTTTGATGTGTATCCACCTCAGAGTGTGGAGCGAAGAGGATCAAATCATAAACCTCTAATTTGTAGATTCCACTGAAATATAGCCACTTCCATTCCMTTATGTGGCATTTCTTGAATTAAAACATGTCTAGAGAAGAATGACCAATGTGCCTGCATGTTAATATTAATCACTTGGCAATGCCTTTGTAGATGATGCAGCCATTGTAAGCACTGTGGGTACACTGCTACTGGGCAGCCAACAGGACAARGAGAGAAGAAAAGTACCTGAACAATTCTCAAAGACTTTACTTGAAGTTAATTTCTGAAGACTGGTGGATTTAAAAACCATGTGCATCCCTCCATATACCCTCCCATATGACATTTCCCTGGGTAGGGAAGGACCCTGCTGTGATTTGTCTGCGAGTGTACGTGCGTTCCTTGGCTGACTGTGCCTGGGCACCTTCAGCACAAATAAACCCCACAATTTTACCAGTTCTATTGGATTTCATAGCTAAGAATAAGCAGGTTCAGAGTTAGACTGCAGTGGTGTGTTAACATAGAAAAGATGCCCTCTGAGGAGAGGAGCTGCTTTTTCAACTTACGTGTCAAACTCGGCTGGAAAAGAGCTCTGATTCTAATCTTGCCTTTAACTTCCCCCTATTAATTTCAAGATGTTGTTGAAAAGTGACACCATATGTGTTCCAAGCCAAGCAGCTGTTTGCAGGCATAATATATTTGTGTGTAAATGCTGTTTTGCAAGAGAGCTTTTTTTTCCTTAGGTTAATACAGTTCACACACCATCTCTTTTGTGGTAACAAACCAAGGACTGAATTTTGCAAATCTTGTTCATTAGGAAAAACAATAGAGGGTGGAACTAATAGTATATTCAGTTCTTGACTCTTACATTACCTCTGACATTTGCTTGCTTGTAAACCAACATCAAAAAGAAGGTGCAGAGGCTCTAGCTAATAACATGTTGAGAATTAAAAGCTTATATTTTAATCCTGTTTCCAAAGGAGGAGTAAGTAAAATGTCAGAGGATTTTATTATGCAATGATTTTATGGTATAAATCTCCCATTCTCACAGTTAATTAAAAAATTTTGAGACTTAGCCAATTAAAAAAATATAATTGCAGCCCAAAGCAGTATCTATGTTCCTTCAGTTATCTGAAATATTTTGTCAGCTTAATTCAGCTCAAGCATTCTTTTCTTTTGTGAACTTAATTATTTTCTTACCAAGYCAACCAGCTCACAATTTTTAGGAGTAATTGCACACTTAACAACATTTATACTTTTAATCATGATGAAACAAACTTTTCATTCTTATTGTTTTGCAGTGATTGCACCCAATGTTTGGGCTTTCCCTCTGTCTCACTTTATATATTTATCACACATATTGACAATTATATGATCTTCTGTCTTTCTCATCCTAATGCAGTTTGGACAGATTTTCCCTAAAAAGCACATGATGTGGCATTTAAATGGGATGTAATTTGCTGACATTAGATCCCAATAGCTGCTGGAAACTTTCAGCAGGAACACTTTTTCTTCCACCTTGTGTTTGCAAAGAGACAGTGCTCCTTATTAAAGAACTATCGGAAGACAGTAGTTGTTTTATTGGTATTTGAGATGTCAGTATTCCAGGCACTGCTTTCTCTGATGGCCCATCTGAACCTTGTGAAATAATTCAGCAGCTGTCTTGAAAGGTGCCACTGGAATGAAGGTCAGCTAGCACAATAATTCCATTTTAGCTCCCTCCCATTACAACAGGAAAAAATTGGAGGAAAAATGTTTGTCTGGGAGCTCATCCTGAGACATMTGAGCAATGAGCTTTCTTGGATGCTCTTACCGAGTTTGAAATAATTTTGTTAGGGCAACTGTTGCCCAAAGAACCTATGAAAGCATGCACAAGTTTTTCAAAATCTATTTTGTATTGCAAAGGTCAGGGTTTGAACTCGGTTCACAGAGAGAGCCGGTGTGCCCACGGAAAAGCTGAGGGTGTGGCATTGCACCACTGCAATGATAAACAGGATGGCATCTCGCATGTTGCCAAGGCATGGACATATCCTTTGAAAATAGAAAGGGTAGAAGTGACCCCTGGCATCATGACTCCTGTTAGCCAAAGCACAAAGCCAAAGCCAAAGCACAGCAGATGAAGTTTGCCAGAGACAAATTGAGTTCAGTGTTCTCTGTTTGACTCTAAAGATTGTGAATCATTGTCACTTGACAYTACCTGGTGCTTTTCTTGTAGACTCTGAACAGTTGCCAGGGAGTGGCCATAATCCTTGGAGGAAGCCATGGGGAGCTTCTCATGAACCCAAGCCAACTCCTCGTCAACATCTCGGAAGAACTGGTACTGGAGTCTGCTTGCCTCCAGACTTGCACGCCTCTCCTGCAGAGGATCACGCAGTCTTTTGTATCTGTAGGTTTTAAAGATAAACCAGTGAGGACTGCAGATTGATAAGGAATGAACGCAAAACACTCTTTTCAGAACAGCATAGAGAAGGAAAGAAAAAAGAATATCCAGGGAAGAAATAGGCTGATAAAAGTAGAAAAAAGAATATCCAGGGAAGAAATAGGCTGATAAAAGTAGAAAAAAGAATATCCAGGGAAGAAATAGGCTGATAAAAGTAGAAAAAAGATGGCAGGAGATAGGCCAGGCACTCACACACCTCTGCACCAGTTCATCCACTTTCTCTTCTAGCTCATCAGCAAGGAAATGTTTCTCCCTTTGGAACTGCAGAGCTGTGACCACGAGCTCTTGCAGCCTGTCCTTATGGCCAGCAATATCTTCCTCCAGTTCCTCTTGTTTCTTCAGATGACTGTTCAAAACCACCAGATCATTGTCACTATATGGTGCTTTCAGCTCATTTTCCACACCTTCCAACCATTTCTCTGTGTCCTCTACATTTCGCTGAAAATGAAGACCCTGAGAACAAGCAAGAAGAAAAACTCTTTTAAATATTTAAGACGGACAGTGTGAGGTAAAAATCTTGGTCGCTTTCAGTAAAGATTACACACAAACAYGGRGAAACTTCYCAGTGTTCAGTGAACTCTTCCCATATAYGATGGTGGTACAAATGAAAAAGAGAATTCAGTCACGGTGAAGACAAGAACAGATCCATGATACATCGACAGCTTATCTTACTTGTGTTGCATAAATGCAGATCATGGACAGAGCGCCTTAAAAAGAAACCATTGAAAGGTAGAGCTCTGTTTTATAACCACAGATTTTCTGAGAGCCCAAGCATAACTCACAGTCATGGGAATTCATGTGCCTGGAGCTAGAAGAATGAAAAGCAGCTGTAGGCCTCTTTCTCAATGTGCGGGAGAAAAGATGCCCTTGAGATGCAGAGAGCTGGCACAAATGAGTAAACACATTTTTCCTCAGCCTCTCTCTCTGGAATCTGGATCTAAACCAGCAGCAGAAAGCAGAMTGGGGCCCAGCCTGCAAGTCCTTTTGCCTCCATAGGGATCTCCAACTCTCCTGCCAATTCCATTCAGTCAGTCCACACTCAGTGGTTTCTTTGCACTGATGGTCRTGAGGAATCACTTGGATTGTATCAAGTGACACACTTGCAGAGGAGACACATAGCAAGGCAGCCGTGCTATCTCTGGAAGCGACACCAAGAGCCAGCCACTGGTGTCCCTGTATTACCTTGTAAGCATCCTGCAGTTTGGTCCATTTATCCTGGCAACTTGCTAGCAGCTCCTCCCACAACTCTTCCATTTCTTGTAGTCTGGACTGAATGGCTTCTGGGGCATAGTGCCTTTCATAGAGCATCTTCTCCCCTTCCTAAATCAGAGGGAACAGGCACCGTGTTCTTCCTTTGCTGAATGCACCAAAATATATTACTTTTGTCTTCATAATCAGTCTACTGTCACTGTTATGAAAAGGGCCAGCTGCAACTTTCACCTCCTGACAGAGGTTGCAGAGACAGAGAAAAATCTAATAAAGACAAAAGGCTTACTGAAATTAGGGCAGAAACTGCACAGTGAGGCAAACAAGAGGTACAGCAAGAGAAACATTGCTGTTCTAGGTCAGTAGGTGTTCTAAAGAGCAGCTACTAGAACTATTCCCAACAAAGAAGGCAGGGCGTTATGAAATAATGTGGAACAAATTGTGCAAACAAGTCTTTGAAAACAGGTAATTCTACCAAGAATTGTAACTCTACCCTTTAACCCCCTCCTGTTGTGTCTGCACAAAGCAGGATTAAAATACTTAAGGAAAAAAAGGAAAGCAAAAGAGAAAAAGAAAAAGGAAAAAGAAAAAAATGAGAAAGAGAGAAAAAGAAAAGAAAAAGAAAGAAGAGGAAAAGAGAAAAAGAGAAAAAAGAGAAAAAGAGAAAAAGAGAAAAAGAGAAAAAGAGAAAAAGAGAAAAAGAGAAAAAGAGAAAAAGAGAAAAAGAGAAAAAGGGTAGGGTGTTTCTAAGACACTGGATGCAGGTGAATCTGGAGGGGGGAATCTACCTTTAATGCTTAGCAATGTATTACAAAATACAGCTAGTAAGCACTGTGCTGAAAATAAAATTAATAAACATGTAACAGTCTGACCTTCCAAACTTATCATCTGATCACAGCTTCTGCCAAATATCTGACAAATCTTGTCAGGCTTCCTTCATATCTCGCCTACTAGCATGTCTCTGCAAAGGAAACACTTGGAAGCTCTTCTTTTTGTTGGACAYATTTTATATGACTTATTAAAGTTGTGCATCCAATCGGGTGGACTCTCTGCTGGAAATAAACAAGGACACTTCTAAATTGGCATTCCCGAGGGAGATGTCCCTAAAATCAGTTGATTGAATCTTGGCTTGCAAGATGTCTGTTTCCATTACCTGCATGGTGAATATGRATAGCAAACTCACACTCAAAAGTAAGAGAGAGAATGAAGAAACAGATGGGCACAGAAAATTCTTGATGAACTAAAAGAATAAATTTCCCAGTATACTCAGAGACAACATGGACAATGCCAGTGAAGCGGCAGTGATTCCTCCTCTCTTGTTTGAGATTCCTTTAACTCACTGTCTGCAGAGTCTTTCCTCCCACCCTTGCCAAAAATCCCGCTTCTCTCACAGATTTGATGGAGTCCAGACGATTTCTATTTGCCATGATCTCTGCTTGGAAAGTCTGGTGCCTCTGCAGTTTGGTCTGCAGATTRCTTG